GTCCACCACCCCCCAACATGATAACCACAATGAGCATCAGATTGTTCAGACTGACATTTAGAAAAATGTCTTTACTATCTCAGTCAAAGAGAAATGTGTGGTTAGTTGCAAGCTCCTCTGAATACTGAAAGGATTACACAGAAGATAAATATAAAAAATGGGTTGCAGGGCTTTTTTTATAACCTGCTGCAGTACAACTATTACATGTTACATGTTTTTCAATATTGTATAAAGAAACCTAATTAAGCAAGCAGTAATGCATCGATGTACTGGACAGGTCGACATTTACTGCATATCAGAATAACGGTGTAATTGGTACATACATGTACAAGGTACATAAAACTCCTCTTTCAAGTCATAATTAAGCTTTACTGTACAACACAGGAGGCAGTTAAAGTGTAGATTAAACTCTTTCAGTGCTTCTAAACCACAAGAGATCCAATCAGAAAAAGCCCGCTAGTGTCTTTATTCCTCAGCCGTCTGTGGATGCAGACCTGGAGGTTTTTCTGGAAACTCAATGATGAACGGTCAGGATGGCCCCCTGGGCTCATCGCCATCCACTCCTACTGAGAAGAAACAGACAATTTCCTCTGCACTCAGCCAGAGAGGATGAGAGAACCAATTCTGAGCCATCTTTATAAGGGAAAGAGATAAATTTCACCTTGGCCTGACAGGGTTACTTGGTACCTCAAGCCCACAATTGCAGTGAGAGACAAATCTAGGATAACAGCCCAGGAGGAGAGAGCTCGGAAATGTCTGAACAGGTATGCAAATGATGCACAAGTCAGCTGGTGTTTTGACAGAAAGTGTCCTCCAAGGCTATCACAGGAACTCTGCAGGAACATTTTCACTGTGTAGGCCTCTCGAAGCGGAGAGGTACACAAACAAAACGGTGACCTCTAGATGGACTCTGCTTGGTGATTAGCAAAAGTGTGACAACAATGGCCCCGGTGAGAAAAGCTGACTAACGTTGCTTCAGCAACAACACAAGGACAAAGGCTTGTGGCGTGTAGCAGCTCTCCTGCGCGCTATTGAAAAGCGCAAATAACGAAAGTACCAGAGAGATGCTTGCCCCGGACAAAAAAAAGAGATAGCTGCACATTCCCTGTCAGCAGGCCCTCGTATGAGAGTGCGAGGCAAGGCAAGTAGAAGGGAGATTTGTTTGCGCGAGCATGTGGTGGCATGTTAGTAGGAAAGGTTTTTGTGTAGGGCATTGATTGTTGTCATGTCAGGTCAAAAGTCAGCAGAGTGAGACAAATAAACGTTGATGGAGAGGCCGTGAAAAGGCTGAGCTGGTGATGTTTGTGATTCAGAGGGAGATGGAGGTGCATTTGTGTGGCTTGTTGGGGAAAAGCAAGTAATATAAATGTCAGTAATGATACATCTAATGCATAACTTTAACATCTTTTTAACTCAAAATTCTGAATTTGTATAGTTTCTGCATAATTAGTGAGGAAAATTAAACAGTAATTAGGGCAATTACTTATGTAAGCTATAACGGCTATAGAAGCCACATGTTAAAATGCTAACACAGCACTTTGCCTTTGGAGCAGCCTATCTACAATTACTGACTAATACAAATTAGTGATTAAAAAGTGATTAAACTGTCCAACAGTTAATATTGCACATTAAAATCAATACATTAATCTTTGGAGGTGTTTCTGCATCTGTTTTTTCTTCTCAGCTATGGTAGTTAGCATTAATTAGCCATTTTTTAAAGATAAGATAAGATAAGATAAGATAACCTTTATTAGTCCCACACGTGGGAAATTTGTTTTGTCACAGCAGGAGTGGACAGTGCAAAAGTTATGAGGCAAAAATTAGAATACAATAAGAATAAATACAGTACACAACTGTACAGAATAAGTCATGATTAAGTCTGTCACCTCATTAGTTATTTGTAAAATAATTCACCCGATGTGGACTAATAATAAAAACGGATACTCTTTGATTTATGAAGTAATTACAGCTAAGGATCAATAGGTTAAACTGGTTTTGGGGCAAGGGTACCTAGACCTGGTTCTTAGAGTACGCTTGGGGAGTGTGATTGTGTGTACAGTGTCTCTTTGTGTTTGTCTCCACGTTGGGTGAGTGTTGAGTAATTGCATATGAGAGCATGAGGGTGGGAATGGATGTTTGTATCTGTGTGTGCCTCTATGTCTGTGTCTATATGTAGGTTGGGTACCAGACGCCACCTCTCTGGGGACATCTCAGGCCCTCCAAGGTATGGAGGCCTATCTCCCCCCACCTCTTCCCCTGCCAGTGGCAGACGCCCTCAGACATCGGTGCGTTGGTGGTTCTTGGTGTCCGGGGGTGGGCGTGCAGGTACACACCAGCTCACTCCTTGGTGGCTGCTTGTCGGGACCTGGAGCCTGGGGCTCGCTCGGGCCACTTCGGGGGTGGGGTGCCCTCAACCTCTCGGCCTGGGGCTCGGTCACTCAGGCACGGCTGGCTGCCGGCGGAGCTCACGGGCACGTCACTGCAACTCCCCCTGGCTTCTGCTCCGCGGCTGCTGAGTGAGCCCTCATCTGGGACTCTCCTCAGCTCTTTCTGGGACAGTGGCGCGGCTGCCCCTCTGTTGGTCTTCCTTGGTCTCTTGTGTTCTGGGGGCCTCTGGATGTCTGGAGTCTTGATCTCCTCCATACCTGCTTCATGCCCTGGAGGACGGGGCTGTGGCTCCCCCACACCCTCTAGCAGATCATTACATGAAGGAACTTTTTAAATACAAGCGCGTCCATGCTCACAGGTGTACACACGGGTGCTCACACACACAAACTACGCCCTTTTTGGCTCCTACCTCAAAGCACACTGTGTGCTGTCGATCTTACGTGCTGCACAATAATGTTTAATATTTAGTATTTACTGTCATATTCCCATATATCATTGTGATGTTGTTTATTATGTTGCTCTTTTTTGTCTTCTGCTTGTTTTTTCTTTTTTCTTTCTCAACAGGTGATCCAGGTGATTGATATGTGTATTTTTTGTCTGCTTATTTTGTTGGTTTTTGTTTTTTGCCCTTTATCCCCGTCCCTCTTCCCCACTGTTTTTCTTTCCCTCTTTCTTTCTCCCCTTACTTTTCCCCAGTGAAGTCTTTCCCGTATTTAGCAAAATAAAAAATAAAATAAAATAAACAATAAAAGGTGAATCAAATAGACCATTACGGCAAGGCTGGGACGGTCCATTTGGTAAAGTAAAATCGTTGGGCATCTTTCTTTGCCTTTAGACAATAATTCTGATGGCAAAAGAGCCAAACAGGACAGGCAAAAAAAAAAGAAGAAAAAAGGTTAAACTGGTTTTAGTTTCTAGCAAAGGCAACCCATAGCTATTTTTTGCAGGCTAACTGTCACTCGATATCCTCCGTTAGCCTCACTTGGACAGGCTGTGTTCATGGACTGGATTTATTATTTCTGTACACAGTACAATATATTGAAATCTGTAATTTAATGCAAAGCTAAAGGTTCAATATGCAAAAATATGTGATTTTTTTGTTTGTTTAATAATATCAAAAATTTCAGGAGCTCTTGCTTTTTACATGCAGTTTCTGAAATCATTTTGGGTCAAGAGTTCAGTCGCATTCACAAATCACAGAGTACAATCAGGGATATCAAATTATCTGAGCATAATTTTGGCCATCTCTTAAGCTAGTTTCCACTTATATGTGTCTTTAGTCAATTTCCATTTTTTATATAAAGAAATTTTACATTCCTGTGGCATAATTTCTGTCGGCATGCCTAAACGTCTCATAGCATTCACAATATGTTTAAATCTTGTATCATTTCTACTATTTAGTCTCAGTCTGGTAGTTAGACTGACTGCTGCTTCATTAAGTCAGGGATCAATATCTGTTGGCCTTTCTAAACAAATGCTTTTTAGTTAGAGATTAAAATTTTGAAAGAAATAGCCAGTATGTTTAGCTTTTCTTTTGTTTTGCTGTTTTAAATTAGTAAGTAATACAATGAGTAAATAAATTCTGCATCGGCATGACATAACAGCCTGTAGTCACTGGGGACCAAACCCCTGTTGTGCTTCTTTGGCTCTGAAGGGCAGAACAGTGTGCTATAGTAAAGGCAGTGAGCCGTCTAAAGCGACGGCACAAACAATAAAAATAGAGGAGCAGCTCACAGAATGAAATTGATCCTGTGGCCCTCTGATAAATCTCTGACCCAGAAGCCACCTACAGACTCAGCAAAGACTCTGCGCTGATGGAGAACAAGACTAAACAGTAACGACAATGGAGACTGCGGTCATATAAAGTCTAAAAATGAAAGACTCATAATTTGAACCAGTACGAAGGGGTGGGAGTTTGTTTTGATGGGCTTAGACTGAGTGCAAAGGCTCAGAGTACTCTGGCTGTGGTTACCAACACATATACCTGACAACTGCACTGGCTTTAGAGGTATGTACATCATCGCTCAAATTCCTCATAAAAGCTGCCATAAGAAAATTACAAAATGCAAACTTTAAAAAATAAAACCTTGAAAAAAACAAGTATTTTGTCAGCCTATTAAGTCTGTAGTCATGACAATATAAATGAGAGGGTATTAAAGAAAGTCACTGACATTTATATTATTAGTATTTTTGAAAAGACAAGCTTTTCTACAGTCATGCCCATACGTTAGATTAAACAATCTGTTACCCGGAAGTGCGCTAAGCTAGGGTAACCGCATGTTTAACAGCAAGAAGAGTGGGATCGGTCATATCACATGACTCTTGGCAAGAAGTAAATGACAGACTTGCGCTATTTAAATAAAATTGAATTGAATTGGGAAGCTGCCTACATGCTTTCTTCAGCATGCTCGCTGTACATGTCCTGATCTTGTAAATCAAAGTGATGACTGTCAAATACGACAAGACTATTTATGATGGCACACGTAAAGAACGCAAACCTGAGCTCTCATCAGATTTATAACTGGACCGGTTTAACTGGATATCTATGATCCAGCTGTCCTGTGTTGGTTAATGCAGAGAGTTAGAGATTCACTTCACACCACACACACAGCAGCCAGAGAACGACAACTTGCAATGGATTTTAATTTGCAACTAAAGCAGGGCCAAACTATTTTATTTGCACTTGTGAGGATTTAAAAAGATCAGTAATGAACTCGGGACTGCAGCCTGTTGGAGGCTGTTGTTCAGCAGAGCATTTTAATTCAGTCAACTGGATGTGTTCTGCTTTTGCCAACATGAAAAAAAAAAAACTTTAATCACCATTCACAACCCGTTCTAAGACTTAGAGTTACAGCAATTTAAAAAAAAGAATATTTTTAACTGTCTCTGCATACTTGAGACTTTTTAATGGAATAGATTAACATGACAATGACTGAAGTTATCTACTTTCTTGCCACGATTTTGGGGAGAGGATCATGACTACTCATATCTTTGCAGGAAAGACAAAGCTGTGGTCGGTTAAATTTCAATTATGTTTCTTTATAATAGTACCGAGTCACAACAGTTGCTTTCTATTGTAAGGTAAAGACCCTACAATAACACAGAAACCCAATATTCAAACGACTCCCTTTGGGGAAGCACTTGGCGACAGTGGGAAAGAAGAACTCCCTTTAAACAGGAACAAACCTCCCAGCATAACCAGGCTCAGACAAGGGAAAGCCATCTGCTGCAATTCGTTGGGGATGAGGAGAGGAAAACAGGATAAAAGACACGTAGCAGCTACCTTTTAAATGTAGGTCTTTTTTTTTTTTACAGTTTGGCTTTTGTACAGATTAAAAAAATATATATCTAACACAGTGTTAGGTTAACCTCATTCCACAACCCCTGAAATCAGCTGACAACAGCTCAACTCAGTGCCAAAACATATCAACTGATGGTTGCCTCCTACATCTACAGTGTTGTCTCTTATAGGGAATACTTTTGAAAAGGGCTGGGGGGGGCACTGTTGACTCCCAGCAGAAGGTCCTGGGTTCAAATCCAGGTTGGATGCCTGCTGCTTTCCAGGTACACCAGCTTTGTGTCACAATCTAAACGGGGGTTGATTGGCAATTATAAATTGTCTGTGGGAATGGTTGTCTGTCTCTTCGTGTTAGGCCAGTTAAAATGGATTATCCAGGGTGTCATGCCTTTGGCTCTGTGACAGCTGGGATAGTCTCCAGCCATCCCACAACACAGAATTACTGGATGGTTGAAGCCTGGATAAGCAAAGGATGATGAGTGAAATAACCTGTGTTTTATACTAAGCAGATAAGCAGCAGATATGCTAACCATTAAAGTCAGGTTAAGCCTCCGGCATTATCCGCTATTTTAATTGGGCCAATATGCAAGTCTTATTGATCTTCTCATTGAAGTCTCACCAAGAGAGTTTGGTGTCCGTAGAGCAGAACTCCTGTGGATAAATACGCAGTGCTGTTTAGTCATATTTATGTGCATGTCTTAGATTGAACAATCAATTATTCTGTGGGCTTTAAACCTTTATTTAAACATGTAAGTATCACATGAAGTCAAGCTGGTATCGTGAAATATATCCATGTCACCGTTTGCATCCTCTCCCCCAGTCTGGACTTGAGTGCAGTGGGTCAAGACGAACTCCTCAAGAGTGTGTACGCACAATTCACAATTCAGTCTCCATGTTTTCTGCATCTCGATGGTTTTGTTGCAATGCTCTTAGTTGGCATTTACCCCAAAAAATATCTTTAAAAAAAAATTAATGTGATGTCCGTTGTTTTTATGCATCAGAAGTTTTGCTGTCAGCCTCATTATGATTAGGGGGGTAAGGGTACATGGGGTTGGAGAAGGACAGCTTGGCATCTTTCCAGTTCAGACCCTGTATGTATGAATACGCACAAAAAAAGACATATCATTTCCTGTGTGCTGATTTCTGCACAGGAAATTAGAGTGAATGTCAAAAGGCTGTGTACAGACACCATACCTCTACCTCCTTCCTCCACGGGTAGACACTGATGGAAAGCCCGTGACCATCACTCCTCCTGGGGTTCACACTGGGACAGCCGCCCGCTCTTTCATCCTGAGGTAACGAAAATCATGTACATGGGTTTAAAATGAGATGAGGCTTAATGTGCGAGAGTGCATGAAATGCAAGCGCAATTAAAATCAAATTGCCTTGTTATGTGTACATAATTACAACTTTAACCTCCATAAAATATTTCATCGTCTTGCAGAGGTGGAATAATCACCAACTGTTTCCACTGCTGTGTAAGTGCTGAAGCGGATCTGTCATGGATATACTGGTTTGGCGCTACAACGCTCTACTTAAAATTGCCAGTAAGAAAAATGAGTGTAGTTAAACACATTTTGTGTGCTGTGCTTGTGTGTTTTCAACATGCACTTTAATAATGTACTGATTAGAATTCATCGACATAAATTCTTTTCTCGTGTACATGAAGATGAAAAATGGCTCATAAAATGATGACGAAACTGTACATGAAAGGTTTGTGATCACACATTCATTTGTGTTTATGTGTTTATGAATTATAACTCTTACAAACATGCCACATGCACAGAGCAAAGTTTTAATCCAGAGTCGTCAGAGCAATGAAACATCACTCTGACTTGTATTACTCGGTGACACGCCCGTGTAGCTAAGAACAAAGTGTGTTTGTGTGTGTCTCTCATTCCATTATCCAAATGGAAGAGCTGTGCTTGCATCATGTCCTACGCTTGGCTCTTTCTCATTAATAGCAGGAATAATAGCAGAGATCAAAATTGCAGGAAACAAAACACACAGTGGGCGGACAATAATATGAGCGCCCGTGTAAGGTAATGCAAGCCAGTGAAGAAGCAGTTTCTAAAGCCTTTCATCATGTGATCTTGATTAAATTGGATATTTTTGGCATCGCAGCTTGTGCTGTTGCATTTGATCAGATTATATAGTTCGGTTATTGTGTCTACCTGCTGTATAGGCACTATAGTGTGTACATACAACACTCGGAGAAATACAAACTCATAGCGACACACAAACTGCAAAATCAATGATCCTAAATCAAAAATCTAATTTTGCAGAAAGGCTTCTGGCGAGCACCTTCTGACTTCTTCTAAAATTAAATCCACTTATTGAACAAATGTGAGAACAATGGTAGAAATATTTGATTTGTGTGGCTGAGAAACTTAATGTTACTCAAAACATGACTGATTGGACATTTCTGTCTGCTGACCTCTGCTTTCCAGTCAAAATTTGGGTTATCCATCACCCCGTAGTCCGTCAGGTTGGGCTTTCTGTGGAGCCGGCAGACAAACTCATCAACACATTTATCATGAACATAATCGTTACACGAAGGATCAGCAGTGAAACAGCAGAACGAATGCAGCTCCAACTCACATTACGTGGCACTTTCTCTTGCGCAGAGCCAGAACACACACAGCGACTCCGAGTACGAGCAGCAGCAGCCCGATGCCGATGCCAACGTACACAGGAACTGCAGTGACATTAACGGGGTAAGTAAGGATGCAGTAATTACACTCAGGCGAGTCATTTTAATAGAGGTGAGAGAAGAGGTGGGCTTCTTTATTACCCATCTGCGTGTCCTCTGGTTTCGGGGAAGGCGTGGAGAGGGATGGTTTCTCTCTGACATGGCAACGGTTTCCTGTCCATCCCGGCTGACAGCTGTGACCACGCAAGGAAAAACAAACGAAAGATGAGACACGGATGCTGAAACCACATGTCTTGTTTTATGTAGCACCGTTTTGTGATCCCATGATGAGGAGTCTGACTCAAATGTGCTTCCCAAATGTGAGTCTCTACTGGCCCAAAGATAAGAGGAATAAATGAACACAATATGCTTGTTTTATGATCTCCATCATGCTCTTTTCTTTTAATAATCCAGCACAACAACATGTTTTATAATCAGATTTTGGGTTGGAGGCCCTGAGGTACACTTTAAGAACCACTGCATACCTGAATATGTCTTTATATTTCTTGTCTTTCACGAAGCAACTAGTGGCACTGTCATCCATTACTAATGAACTGCACATGCACATATACATATAACACTTAATTAAATAGACATAGATCAAAACTTTAGTAAGAACAGGATAATGTAAAAAAAACCTCCTCAGACTTTGAAGCTACATAAAATCAAATACTAAAACAAAAGAAGTATAATCCTGACAGTTTCTATTAAGCTTATTGAACATACGCGTCTTTTCCATCTTGACAAAAAGTGCAAGGTTTATCTGCTGGACATCAAGCATGGAAACACAGGCTAATTGCGAATTGTTTGGCCGGTCTGTGGAGCTGCATCTGGAAAGAAAGTAAGTTCCTCTTTTTCAAATCTAAGACTCTGCTCCAAGTCAACATCTGTTCAGTATCAGCTTGATTTCAGAGCAACATTGACCTTCTAATTCGAAACACACAGCTCTCAGCAAAGCCAGACTGAGTCATTATCATTCAGAGGGGGTCAGCGTGCATATTGTGCGACTGTCTAGCCGTGGCAGTGGGCTGCTCCTGGCCTGGTTCCCTGGTGGATCCTGCTCAGCAGAGTGGAGGAACGTGAGGCAAATACTGAGCCAGAGGTGCTGGCCATGAGTTCTGCTACAGCAGGGCTGTTATCAATGCTGGAACAGCTTCAGGAAGTCCATACCACATTGCAGTGTGAATGACGGCGGTAAGGTCCTCTTACATAATGAGAGGAGGCGGTGGTGGTGGTGGCGCTGCACTGAGGAATGTTGGACGGGGACATGAATAGGAAAGGGGAATCAAACACAGCAGGACTAAATGAGGGAATGAGGCAGCATTTCTGAGACAAAAAGCATTAACAAAAAAATCTTTTGACATAAAGCAGGAAGGAAAAGGAAGAAGAGGTGTTTGGAGAAAAAGATGAAATGCTCGCTTCTCCTTTTTGCTGGCTGGGCAGGCGTGTGGGTGCACTTGATTGACAGCAGCTGAGCTCTGTCAGTGAAATTGGACACAAAGTAAACAAATTTGCGGTAGTGCCCACATGTCACGGGCAGACAGCTTGTTAGCAGTACTGAAAAGCAAAGACCACACCAGCATCTAACCTGTCTGGACTGATACCTGCGGGTACATTTATATTCTGTACGTGTCGCCGAGCCTACAAACCGACATTAGCAGCTCGCTTTTTGTCAGGATGTGCACGACAAGACGTGCGTTCATCTTTGCAAGTTAGATAAGAAGCAGACAAGCCAGTATGGGCTACTTAGCATTCAAAGTGTGCAGCTCTTGTGCAGCAGTTCCAGCTTCCTGTAAAAATGGTTTAAAAGGAAGTGAAGTTGTTGAAAACCAAATTTGGATTAATCCAGTTTCTCAGTTTTGTCTTAACAAGAGATTTTCATCACAAATTCATATCATGCAGGAATTTAATTTCAATTGAAGGTGTTGCTTTTCTAATAACGTGACACTTATTGGGTTGTTGACATGGCGTACAGTTAGTTATGTGACTTTAGGGAAGGTGTATCCACCCCGCTGCATGATTCACATTCATGTGTTGGAGAATTTAACCTTTGGTGAAAAGAGAATGGGGGAAATGTGAATCTCCCAGAAAGGCTTCACTGGTGCATAATGATGTTAGCAGATCCAGCACCAAGTCTTATAATTGCATTCTTTCTTTTATAATGAAAAATCTCATTGGAGACATTCCAAGCTGCTGATGCAGACAGCTAGATTCACGGGCTTAATAAAAAAAAACCTCCAACAGAGTGTCTGTCTTGAATGTGTTTTTGAAAGGTAGACAGCTGTATTATGCTGGCAGGTTAATCTGATGCATGGCTTTTTGGGGGTCTACCCGCTATAGCTATTCTTAGTGGTGACCACGATTAAATATTGACCAGGAGAACCCATCAGAGATTCCCAGGAAACACTATGGTGCGGTTAAATGAAGGAAGAACCATCCTGCTTAATCTGCAGGGGATAAGCAGATTCCCACATGCTTCACGGAGCGTGTCTTTTCCAAGGAAAGCAACAAGACTGATGGGATTTCCATGTTTTAGAGCTCACAGACAGATAAAGGATGAGAGGGGGAGTGGGAAGAACAGACAAGATACTTATCTTTCTTTTGTGCATCTTAATGAATGTGACTGAGTTTGTGTATTAGTCTGCTTATAGATGCATGTTTGTGTGTGTGTGTGTGTCTGGGTGAAGTTCAGCTTACATGCAAACAGGCCCCTGTGTCATCACATGGCATGAGCCGTGATACATGCAATACATCGGAGGACATTCTGCAAATGAAGAAAGGAAAATGCAGCATCACCACACGTTGTACGAAGAAGGCAGGATACTCCAACCCTCCCTGTACTCTGTCAGTAGCCACCATTTCTCTCCTCATCTGACAGGAAACAGACATGTGGCTGTTCAGAAGATGAAATCAGTCAAATGTGTTTGGGGGGGGGGGGGGGGGGGGGTACTGTTGAGTGTCATCCATTAACCTCTGCAGAGAGCATGAGCAGTTAAGAGACCATGCATTCCAGCCACTTAAAGTGAGTATGTTTTCAAAAATAAAGACACCGATGGTTTTTATTTACTAGTAAATGTCAGACAATCATTTGCTTTTAGTTCATGTGTCAGTTATTCAAGGTAGGTCACTCCAAACATCTTAGAGTTTTTATGAGGTCTTTTCAAGGTGCATCAGAGAAAGAGAGTGATCCCTAAGTGCCATCTTTCTTCTTCTTCTTGTGGCTGTGATAAATAAAGTTGCCCACATGATTTTTATCTGAAGGAAGCACCAACTTCACGTCTGGTGTTGAGCCAAGACTGTGCTGGCATATCTAAAATACTCCAGTCTTTTCAATTTGCTTTCCACCACAGTGCATGTCATTAATGTGGCCAGTGTCTTCCCTTAGTTGTGTCTGAACATTACAGTAAAACTGTTTTGGAAGAAATGTCTTTTGTGTTGAACACTGAGGAATCTTTGACTTAAAATAGCCGTTTGGTCTCTGAGTAATAGCTGAAGGACTGATTCTCATCTGTACCGATGTCCATGGTGAAAGAGGAGTCCGGTGGTGCCAGTGTCCGGCAGCCTCGCCTCTGTCAGTGCGCCCCAGGGCAGCTGTGGCTACAATGTAGCTTGCCATCACCAGTGTGTGAATGGGTGGATGACTGGGTGTGTAAAGCGCTTTGGGGTCCTTAGGGACTAGTAAAGCGCTGTACAAATACAGACCATTTACTTTAGCATGCTTTTTTCCCCTCGCCCACCTAATCTATCTGATGATGACTGCTCCTGCCTCCATAGGTTGGATGAGGGTTATTAGGGTTGCCTTTTAAATAATCATCATGCTGGAAATACCATTATGAAACCCTGAAGTGCTGCTCAGCCCTTGATAAAGTGACTTTGGCTTGGCAGCAAATGCAGGCGGAATGGGAGGTTTGGGCTTATTTCTCAAAGATGCAGGAAAGCAGAGGTTTTAATGGATCACATTTTGGCAGCTTGCAGTAACACCGTAAGGTGTGCTTTGAAGACTAAACAGCCAGACCTGAAAATGTCCTGAGAGTCCCTCGAAATGGGCAAATATGAGTGAAGTACTGGAAGCACTTAAGGGAAAACTGACTCATGAGAGGGCAATATATAGAGAAAAGGCAAAGGTATGTGCTAAATTAAATGTGAAAATACTTTAAAAGATTACTTTTTCGTAAATGGATACAAAGAAAAGACGTGTCATTCGAATCAAAGCAAATTGAGATGTAACAGCACATTGAAAGTAAATGTCACAGTGATTGACATCAAAGCTTTAAAAGAAGCTAAATTAAAGCATGAAGTGACTAATGAAAGTAGAGACATTTGATCACAGCTAAATGCACAGACAGACGTGACACAGAGGTGGTAGAAATGACACTTTAGAGTAAGTGCAACCTGCGACATGTCAGGAAATCATACAACAGGGCTACAGTTAATGGCAAAAAAGGGTAAGGTAATAAAAGCGTGTTACCATGGCAGCTGGATTCATCTGAGTGGAATGGCAGGCAGTCGACAAAATGGTCACAACGGCTCTGAAATGGGATACAGCTAGACGAACTTTCACACACCAGTTCTCCCAGCTTACACTGGAGCCAAGCTGGTGGAAAAAATGAGGAAATATGAAGAGGGTGAGTGTTAAATTTACAGACTATAATGAGTGTATCGTAATTATAGTAGGAGAAGTGCACTGCTCACTGCCTTTTTAAAGCATTTTAAGGAGATATTCTACAAGCAATTGCACAAATATTCAAAAAGTCCAGCTTCTAACTCCCAAAACTTTCATTTCTTCTTAGATATAAACTGTATCGACAGGCTCCGTACAACTAATGCTGTCAATCAAATACACAGTCAAATTCACTTTATCAAAGGAACATATTTTAACACAACAAACACTAACCAAGGCCCATATAAACGTAACACACACTAAAATAATCAAGTAGTTCACTGAGAGTGTTGGGATTTAAAAGCATGGACTGAGACCAGCTGACTTTAAATAGAAGGACACACACCAGCAACTCAACAGGCCTTCATAGTACCCACAGTGATCCTCACTCACACATCCTGTTATACATCTTTGATTACTGCGTTTACCCCAGTGCAGATGAGGTGACTGAAATTCAACCTATGGTGCTAAAAACTAAATAAAAAATGATTAAACAGGGTCTTTAATCTGTATGCAGTACCCACTATAACCTGCTCTGTTTAAGTAAGAACTAAGTATAGCACCAGTAAACCTTTACCTTTGGTAGAACATAATATCTATAGCGCACATCTACACTTATGACCTCTAACCACATGAGCACCCCTCATCAGTCACCCCTCATTTCTTTACATTTAGCTTCAAAGAAGTAAGACTTTTCATTTTTAAAGTGGTCTAGAGCAATAATCTTGTAAGCTTTCTAAAGGTCTTTACATTTTTTATGGACATTAGCTGCTTTTTCACACATTTTAAATTGAGTTTTTCTAACTTTTTTTCCTAACCGTTTTTAAGGAAGTGAAGTGGGGAAAAAAAGCCAAATCACACAAGAACTGGACTGAAAATCAGCATCACTGAACTTCCTGATTTAAATAATTGTCAACATATAAGGAGGAGGTCAGAAGAAGGTATCTCTATCATGGTTTAGGGCTGCACTTCAGTCAGTGGTCTTGAGGATCTTGTCAAAACTAAGAGCTCATAAAGGCAGAAAGTTAGCACAGATATTTGATCCCACATGTCTGATTAGCAACAGGTTCATTTTTCAGCAGGACAATGACTCCAAATGCACAGCTAATGCAGTAAAAGCACACCTGGGTGGAAAAACACACAGTGGAACAGTATCGGTCATGGATTGGCCTCCCCAGAGCAGACCTCAACGTTAATGAAGCAGTGTGAGGTCATCTTGATGGAGAACAGGACAAAAGGCAGGAACTTATAAAGAAGAGCTTTAAGTCTATTTCAAGAAGTCTGGAGAACTATTCCTGAAGATTACTTAAAGAAACTACAAGAAATCTTGTCTGAGAGAGGTCAGCCTGTTAGAAAGAATAAAGGTGGTCATACAAAATACTGACTTTAAGCTTGTTAGACTCTTACAAACTATATTTTTGTCCTATATTTTGCATTTCCATGTATGTTTGCAGATATTTCAATAAATTTCTGACCATTTCCCATATATATACATATAAGAAATGAGGGGTGGCTGAAGAATTTTGCACAGTACAGTAGATAAAGCTGGAGGGGGGGTTGTAGCCCACTAAGCATTGACGGAAATGTAAAGCCAAATCCCCGGGATTAAACATGGATGTTGGGCGGGGGGGGGTGAACTTTTTCAGCTTTTGAAGTGGAGCATGCTGCAAATGAGACATATTGCTTTAGACTCTTGGAGGAAACCAGAGAAAACCCACGTAGGCAAACTAAACACAGGAAGAGCCCAAGATGGTTCAAACACAAAGCCACAAAGCTGACAGGACTAACCACTGCATCAGGATGCTACACACGACACTAAGATGGAAATTTAATGGAAAATGTGATAACCTCTTATAAATCTGAGGTTTAATGGCTTATCATTTTATGTGGAAACAGCTTTACTATATATACTGTGACCCCATTGCATTTTTTGCCGTTTGCTTTAGACATTAAGATTTTATCCCAACACTTTTTATATTGTACCTGTTTTTAAAAATCTCAGATGTTACATTGGATGATGACATTGGATGATGACACTGAGAAAACAGTCATTGTCATTACAGTTTAAAGGGACTATTTATTCAGTGGATAGTAGTTCCAGTGAAAGCAGTGAGGTTTGTGGATTATCCAGAAGTTGTTTTTGGTAAACACGTGTGATTTTTTGAACTATTAAGCTCTATCAGAAACATGTTTAGGGGAATTTGCGAGAGGTTTTCATCTCATCTGTTACTTATTAAACATGAATTCATGGGATCTTGTCTAAATATGGGTAAAACCGCCAATTATTTCCTTTTTTGCTAGAAGTGCACTTCAGTTTTCCAGCCATTCATCCTCAGTGAAAAATGAAGAGGTGCTAACTTACGGCAGCTGTATTCATCCTCTCCTGTGGGACAGTCAACGACTCCATCGCAGCGCATTATGGACGGGAGGCAGTTATGATCTGAACACTGAAAATAACCAAGAGGACAAAGGACCTGAGGAGGAAGAGTTCCGGGTACAACAGTGGGACAATGCTCTTCATCAGACTTATCAGCACAGTCGGGCTCCGTGTCACACAACCAGCTCTCTGGGATACACTGGAAGGAGTATGCACACTGAAACTGGTTCACACCACAAGTCAGTGGCTGAGGAGTCACAGGTTCTGAGGTGGAAAATCACAGTGGAGAGATGCATGCAAAAGGGTTAAATAAACTTGATTTTCAGTCAAATACAGTAAAAATCCCCCATTGATAAATCCCAGGATTGTTTTTGAAAGTATGTTAATGTTTTTTTTTTGAGACCACAGAGGCTTCGTCAGAAAGCCAGTGAAAGAAACAGTTTGGGGTGGTGGGAGGACAGAATGGTGAGGGTGAGGAAACAACACAATATAAATGTAATTGCTTTTCCTCCCCATTGCCCTCCATGCTGTCCCTTGGCATTGACCCATTCTCTGCATTGAATTCATATGGACCTACAGGGCAACAGGCTCCATTAACTCACTACACTTTCCCCGAGGGTTCACACTATTTATATGGAAACTGAGGAGACGAGCATAGATGTTGGAGGACAGGGAAAAATTGGGAAATGGGAGAATGTGAAAACTGGAGGAAATGAAATGAAAAATGAGAAGGGTGCTAGAAGGATAGGAAATAAGGAAAAACTAAATAGAAGGGCAAAGAAGGCGAAAAACTTTTAGGTCTTTACCTCCAACTATACACTCTGCAGTGTAGGAAATGTCATCCAGGGCGATGTCTGTCCACATGTCTCCACCCACCTGGGCCTCAAAGGTCACTCTGAAGGGTACCGTGCTGGACACGATGACATTAGCGTATGTCCACTGTCTGCCATGGTTTCCAGTGGCTGCCCACATCAACAGACGGGTACCGCTGGGTCCAACTGTAAAGACCTGGTGAGGTCAGGTGGCACAAAGTGACATTTCCATTTGATGTGTAACAATATGTTTGAGTGAGAACATGTATCATCACCATACAAAATTTATTATAATCAAACAAACAACATAAAAAAAGTTTCTTTTTCAGTCTTTAAACATTTTTCCTTCAGTGGTGACAGGGTGTTTACACATCACCGTTACATGCAATAGAAGTATGTGCATTCTTTGCTTAAATAAAACCAGTAGAACTGCAGTGTAGAAAAACATAAACAATTGGAGTACTAGTAACAGAAGCGCTATAGAGCTTCAGTGTTTCCGTGTGTCATACTTTATGCATTTACGTGCAACATGTACATAAAAGATGTCTGTAGCCACTGTGATGTTACCGAGGGCCTCAGTCATGCAGGTCTTAAGACCAGTCTGCAAACCTCTAAAAACCTCTGGTCACAAGGGAAAAAACTGTATTCCCCAACTGGTTGGCAAGTGATTGCTGGAGGTTGCTAGCTGTTGCCAGGTAAAATTGGTCTCAAAAAGTGTGCTGCATCAAAAAACTCCAGATTATTTGTACTTCTCTCACTGCAGCCAGCTTAGGCTCCAGTCATAGGCCGTCCTCTTGAAAATGGAATTAAAACATCCTCTGGTTCAATTCAATTTTATTTACATAGCGCCAAATCACAACAGCAGTTTTATATTGTGAGGTAAGACCCAACAATAATACAAAATGGTTGTTAGGTTAAATGCATATTCTCCTATCATTTAACAAGTGGTTGTTGGCAGATTGCTGTGGTTGCTGGTTGTTTTCAGACTTGTCTGCAAACACTCACAAACTAACTATGGAGCTGTAGTGAAAAGTGTGGCATAAGCTGGAAAATGTTGGTTCTCCGAGTAAAAGTAGTGCTTTTCTGTTAACAAACTACAGATAATCTTCACACACTGCTAGCAACCAAAGCAACTGAGAGGAGGTTTTCATTGGAGCACTCCAAATACAGGCCATTCTTTGTGACCAGTTTCACATGACAACTGAGACCAGCATCGGACAACCAATTGCCAACCGGTCAGGAAATACAACCTTCTCCCCTAGCGATTGGTGGTTTCCAGGGGGTCGCCAATCGGTCACTAACTTTAGGACTGTGTGGCTGGAGCCTAACTTATTTATGAGGTTCTGATTTGAAACTTTAATCTGAGTTATTTGGCTACTGTCATCTTATGTTATTTTCCTTTATTTCTTCTTATTCTTTAAAATTTTAAATGAAATGAAATAAGTGAGTGATGGATCTGGCTGAGAAACTGAGGACACTCACTCTCATAGGGTAGCACCTTGACTACAAAGTCACATGCTGCTTAATCATCGTTTAATTACTCTAGATTGGAGCATAATTTTAAAATTGTTTTATTAAACAACTAACTAACAACTTGGAACACAGCTACACACACATATACAAAACCAAAGCAGTTGCTACCTGCTCGTCAATAAAAAAGACAGGTTTAAGGCACTTTACTGTTAGCTTTATTTAACATACCTTAATTTTACATTAACTTGTAAAGATGGAGAGACCTTTGTCTTTGTACACTTACAAAACTTGGCTGCCGAACTGATCCAAAACTAAAAACACCATCTCATCATTTTTTAAAATGTATTTTAAGATTTTATTGATTAGTACAAAGACCTGAACGGCCTCTTTTCCAGCTACATCTCTGATCTCTTATACACACACTGCACTTTAAGGTCCTCAGGCAGTGGTCTGTTTTGTGCTCCAGAGGTCTGGCTGAAAACCAAAGCATACAAAGCATGTTCAGTCAAGGCTTCTCCAACAGTCTGCTTGAGTAAATCAGGTCAGCTGAATCACTGACCTCCTTTGTATCGTCTCTTAAAACAGACTTTTATGGGAGAGTATTCCTTTGTTTAGTTGAGTTTCAATTTAAAAATACACTTTTCAATATCAGAGGTGTAGTGGAACAGAAGCAAAAAGAAGCACGAAATGGAAAAACTCAATTAAAGTACCGTAGAATATCCTTCCTTACAATACTTTCTGATGGCTTATTTCAAAAGTGGAAACTCTGAAGGTTTAATAGTTGTTTTTGATTAGCAATACAGTAATTTATGCATAATTTAGAGCTGTGAGTTTTTGAGTAGTTTTGCTTATAATTGATGTAGATTTCTTGTAAGCGCCTCATCTGTGGCTACGCATGGAGTACACTTCCTGTCTAAGTAGAGCTTTTAGCAAATGCTTATTGTTTGTTGTTTTGAAATTAACCCATTTAACAAAGAGACCTAAAAAGACATGAAAAGACTGATATGATAATGACGTTTGTAACCTGACATGCTTTGATGGCTTATTTGCAGGAAGAAAGACGTTCATTCCCTCCTTTGGGTATCAGGTGACTGACAGTAAGCAGAGCAAAATATGTTGATAAGCTGAGTAAAAGAGGAAAGAAATCTCTGACAAATCCAAATTAAGCCTTCATTTTGGATCATTTCTTAGCAGGTGACAGTTAAAAAAAAAAAAAAAGCCTGATGCTCAAAAGCAGCAAACAGAAGAGAAATTTGTCTGAGATGAGGTCACCTTCAATGTTCCCATCCTATCAGAACCATGCATGAAGAACCAGAAGCGCAGGTGACACAGGCCGATGCTGGCAGGAAATGGACTCCTGGTTGTCACCTTGGCAACATCGCCCTCGTGCTGAATGGCTGAGTTTATATACAGGAAGTTCCCTCCACCACCTTTGGAGATAAACGCAGTACTTTACAATTGCAGAACATTTATGTAAGGCATGAGTAATATCTCAGTGCGATGAACGATGAAGCTGAAACGGCAAAAGAAAAGCCACAGCCAAACCCAGCTCAACCATCAAATTTCAGCTTTGCTGCAGGAAAGAAATCCAATAACCTTATTCTGCTGGTTCAAATATGCACGATATTTAGACGGAGGAAGGCTGTCGTTAAATGTATCCTGCAGCCAAAAGCTGCAGAGAGCTTCTTCAGCTCGGCTAGGCTTGGAGATGAGACAGCATGTGTGCGGTGCCAGAACAAAGTGGGAGTTTTCCACATGAGTTTAGGGGGATTTAAGGCCATCACAATCCACAGTGCACAAAAAAACCTGCTCACACCCACAACACAGATTCCGCTGCGGTGAATCAAATCATAAAAGTCAAAACAAAGTCTGTGCATCTATCCAGGCAGAGCTCGTTTTCCAAGAACGTGTACACGCATGTGCTCCATTACCTGATCCTATAACGACAGGATATTTGCAGAGTCATGCCTTTGTCCATGTGTTTTTAAGCTGTAAGATCACGAGTCCATCCAGCCCATCATTCATCCTTCCGATCAATAACCTCAAATGACCGATCAGGAATAGCAACCTAGTGACAGCCAGTACAAGGTGGAGTTACAGCTGCAACTCAGAAGACAACAGCTGGTTCATTGAGTGCACTGTCACCCATGAAAAATGCTGCTTTGTCCTCAGCATTATGGCTCTCATGTGGCATGCAGGGACAAAATAGCTGCTGTGTGTGTGTTTCTTTACCTCCTTACTTTCTCCTTAACAGTTTTCACCCGTGCGCTCCACTCATGCTGCTTGTCGTCCTCATTTCAAACTGGTCCGTCATCATTCAAGGCCTTAAATAAAAAGGGCGTGCTTGGAGAAGCCACTCGCTCATTTTCTCTACCCCTTACACAGCCTGAGACAGGAGTGAGCAATTGGTACAATTTTATGTTGCTCATGTCTTCAGAAACAATAGCTGCTAACTGTGCTGTGGCAGACAGATCTGTGGACGTGCACTCGTGCACATCTGTGCACAAGGGGATGGAGGAGAGGGGAGAGTTCCAGTTTAATCTTGGAGAGATGCTAAAGTGTATATTTACCAGTTTACTCATATTTAAACTTGCTCACATACAGCAATAACTGATTTAATCCCTGGGTAACAGCATATCAGTATACAAGTTAATATTAATAGTAGATGCCTGAATACATAAATGCACTGAGTTGCTGAAATGTGATTGGCTGATTAGATATTTGCATTAATAAGCAGTCGAGCAGGTGTAGTCAACAAATGTATTTTCAGCTGGTGAGTTATTGATGCCTTGAAGTCTTACGGAAATTTTGATTAACATTGCTTCGCATAAATGTGGGTAATTGTTGCCAAAGTGTCGTTACCTTTCAATTAATCAGTTTAAAAAACAATATTTGAAGCAGCTTTGCTTCATATGATAAGCAGGAATGCTGTTAAGCTCAGTTTGACTCAGACTGATATTGATCAGGAAGTATTTTTAACCCTGCCTTCATGTCGGTGTCACACAGTCCTATTTTCCAGCTGTCAAGTTGTAATTACAAAGGCGCTGCCAGAGAGCTGAAAACATGGAGGGTGTCAGGAGAATGCAGATGTTGTCTGCTCCTAATTTTGAGAAATTGTTTGTTTTTTCTGCCAGTGTTATTAACAGGAACAAACTAGGAGGCTGGCAGAAGCATCCGATCAGAAGATGCTCATATTGTAATTCTGGGTATCATGTAAGTGACACAAGGATGGAGGATTTTTTCAGACAAAGCCAAACATGAGGAAAACAGAATAAAACTACCCCTCGGTGGACTTTTCTATAGACTTTTTGGATAATTAAAGGAAATAAGCTCAGGGAAAATCAGTTTATGATACATTATTTGTTCAGTAAGATGATGCTCAAAAATTCTACTTTTATGAACCTCGATGCATAAATGGAACAACTTTTGTGTAGTTGGTTAGCGAGCGCCTTCTGTGGGTTACATAAAAGAACTTAAAAATACATTAGTGGAGTACTTCTATGTATTTTATGCCGTAAAACAACACATTGTGCTAATTTCAGACCTTATTGCAGCCAACCACCCAAAAAGCCATTATAAAAACCTTCGACTTACTTTGAGAAAAGGAAAGCAGAAGTAAAAGCACATTTTTCTTGTTGTGTATGGTCATATTTTTGGTAAGATTTTAGCAGAGAGCAGCTGCAGACCTTGGCTGTGGTCGGTGATAGGTCCAGCCCCTGGTGTCTCAGTACTGGAACCAATCCTCCAATCAAAGTCATCATCAGGGTCTTGAGAAAGTTGGCATCTCTCTTTCCACTGGTCTCCCTCCATGTTGAAGCTACAAGCACCTGGCGAGCTAATTATTTTGTCTGCCAGAAAGAAAGAAATTGAAAGATGAAAGGAAAGAGTTTGCAGTCCTGTTTCAAAGTTGTCCTTCTGCTCTCCAAGAAGGGACCTATTTATCATTTCTACTCACCGCAGTCAGCTTCGTCCGATTCATCAGCACAGTCGGCCTTGCTGTCGCACACCAGGTGGGACTCAATGCAGTGGCCGCTGCGGCACACAAAATCTGTGGGCGCAGGACAACCAACGGCCTCCACAGTGGCTAAAACACACAGATAATTACAATGAATAATCATAATTTCTATTATTCCTCAACAATTTCATCCCCATTTTCTAATCCAGACAAATTAAATCTGACATGAAATAAAATGCTGTGATGAACAATTTATTAATAAAACACAGACTTCCTGTGCTCAGCACCAAAGAACAGCAGCGGAGAAGAAGGTAAACAAACGCAGACAAAGGCCTGTCAGGGAAATCAAAGCCCCCTTCCTCCTGCACCGCCTTGTTTGAGATGGAACAGAGAGCAAGGAAAACAAATCAGGTGGATCACAGACAGCACACACACACATTAGCCACGTCTGTGCAGATGTGTGTGTGTGTGTGTGTGCGTGGTTAAACTTCAAAGGCAGCGACATTAAATGATGAGTGAAATGAGGAAAGAGTTGAATTTCATTCCGGGAGGTCAGTGGGGTTAAAACCCATCATATAATAAACTGAAAATCCATTTTAGCGAGCACTCAAAGTTGATGGAAGTTGTCTGTCTGTGTCATTTGGCTTTGGACAGACAATTTGTCTGCTTGTGTGTCTGCAGTCTGTTTTGATCTATGCCTCCGCTTAGATCTGCAGGTCAGTATTTATGTTCTCCTGTGTGTGTTTGTTTATACGTGTGCACTGGAGATGGAGATGGAAAAGAGTCGGCAGAGCAGGAAACATCCCCCCTGGTGCCCAGCCTTGTGCCAGGTCCTGTTTAATGTACAACATCTGTCTCAAACATAAATATCAAACGGCGTCTGTCAGCGACTGTCGTCCCAAAGACAATCAAACTCTCCTCTCGCTTCGAGACCCACCAGTTCTGCCTTTCTTTTTCTCTGAGTGTGCCGGCGGCAGAATCAATTTCATACTCCAAACTATCAGCTGGAAAGATCATAAAATAATTTCACAGCATAGTTATATCGCGCTTATGAAGCTTATTGGAAGAATACTTTGATAAAACGAAAGCAGAGAGGAAGGCTAGAGAGAAACTGAAAACAATTGAATCCACTTTGTGAAATTCAGGCTGAAATCTTTTTTAGTTTTTATTTTCTCAACCACTCTAACTGCTGGAGTTATTTATTTTGTTGCGTTAAGGCACCTGGGTTTGTGCGGGTTTACATCATGCATTGCTTTACTTTAATCTCACATTTACAAAGGGACTGATTCATGGGTCCAGCTTCTTTTAAAGGCGAGATTACGGCTATTCTCCAGACTTCAGCAAACATGAGCCGCTATGAACACAAAGTTAATAAAAGACATTTTCCTCATGCTTTTAAAAGTTTAGTTGAATTGAAGCTGCTTTTTAAATTTAAGAAGCAATAAGAAAGATTTGCACTGCCACTGTGCACAAAGCGACGGTAATATATGTGCAGGGGTTTGCTGAGCGCCAGCGAGCCTGTGATTACTTTACCAGGTGGTGAGATTTCCGGCTTTTGAAACTTTTCCTCTCCACTGCTCCTTTTTTTTAGGACAATGAAATTTAAAGACCCTTCCTATCTCCTCTGCTCACCTACGATAGTGCCTGCAGTGCGTTATTTATCATTTACCTTTGCTGGCTGCAATTCACAGTTATATAGTAAATTACTTGTAAACTATACCATTGAAAACTGCAGATGCAGATACATGTACATAAATAATATGTGATATAAATACACTGTCCAGCCCAACTAGATTTAACTAAGTAAAAAATGTAAGAGACGTTGATGACATTGGAGGTTTAGATTCAAGAACATTATGTTTCCCAAAAATGAGGTCAGCTGACTAAAAGAAGACAGAGTCAAACATTTTTACCATCAATGGATTTTTTTCTTCCCTGATGACAGCTGTATATTCCAGGATGAATATACCAGGATTCACCGGGCTCAAGTTGTGAAAGAGTGAGACATCATTTTCACACATGGATTGGCCGCCACAGAGTTCGCATCATAATCCCGCTCAAAATCTTTGGGATCTGCTGGAGACGACTTTACGCAGCACTTCCAACTTTTCGATCATGACTATAAGTGGCAAAAAATAACGTGATTCTAAATGGGAACAAATGTTGTGACAATAAGCTTATCAGATGTGTGCTGCCATCAAAGATAAAGGTGTGCGTTACTTTCTTTCGACTGTGCAGCTTTTAACACTATTCTATCTTTGCCCGTTGCTTTGTGCCTAATAATTGGTCACAATATTTCTCACCTTGTCTTTTGTCATTGGTGTAAGAATCCACGGTCATTTTTTATTTGGTTAAATTGTGCTTTTGCTTAGCCGATTTTGAAATAGTTTACTTCTAATTAAAATTCACTAATTCTATTTTATTGTATTTCAGTTCAGTTTTTTTTTCCTTTTTAAGATATTTGTTTTAATAATAAGAATAATAATACAATACATACATAATACAATTTTACTTTGTTTACATATACACCATTATATGTATTTAACCTATTATGTTTTTTTGTGTTTAACTTCATTTTCTTTTTTAAATTAACTGCAATAACAAAAGAAATACCCAAATCACTTCTCCAGGTCGCTTGTTTTAAGCTAAATGCTAACAGCAACATGCAATTTAAACATGCTAGAATTTGCTGGTTATCAGTCATTTTCCATATATCTGCCAAAAGCATCTTTAAAAAAAAATTTAATTAAAAAAAAATAAATGCCTGCTTGCACGTTCATAATTGTACGCAGGCATTTAATTGACATAACTCATTTTTACATCACTACAACTTTTACATTTTTATTAAAGTCCATAAATGCTTTGATGCTGGTTCAACCCATTTTAAATTAGTGTTCAAAAGCGTTATATAATCAATAGCTTTTTTAAAATGTACATTTAAAAATGACATGTAATCATAATAATATTGAACAAACAATCGTTTGGAGCAAAACCATCAGTGACAAAATGAGCAGTAATAGAAATGCTAGTAATATTGTCATTAATCTCCCCAGGTGTATGAAACATGGGCTTATAGTGACCCAATTTCACCTGAAATTTGCCTTCATAGTGCTTTCATAATTATTTTATTGTAGTCCAGTCTATATGCAAAACTTGTTGTGTACTGTTTGTGCATGCTACCTACTTGGGGCACAGTCTATGTACTCCAGGTCATCTAAGGCCGCTCCACCGCTCACGTCCTTTAGGCGCACCACCTCAAATATGACTTCAAAGTTCCTGAGCTTCCTCAGGGGGATCTCTGCTCGGTTCCACTTATTGCCCTGATGTCCCGTTTGATTCCACACCTCCTTTAAATTATTCTCCATCTGTGGAGAAGAGCAGCGATGAACAAAAAGAGGCTCATGTGGTAGCATTTCACATACTATGGTGCTGCAGTCTCATTTCAAAGAGCTACAGCAGTCATTACCGTCAGAAATTTTTTTTTCAAGCTTTAAGCCTCATGTCGAGAGTGAAGAACTTCTTGGTCAAAACGTGCTGAATCAGATATGTGGACAGAGTGCTGCTGCTGAGAAAAAGCGAATGGCATCTAAGAGAAGTCATTAAACTCTCATTAGCATTAGCATAACATTGTAGTAATAATTCCCCCGCCTTGAGACCTGCGACTCACATTTAAACCCTGCTTTCTGAGTATAGTAATAGATTTCTCTCATGTCACATATGGAACATATTAAAAGACAAACTGACGTGTATTCCTCTGTAATCCCACTATGCCTTTTCCCATGGTACTTGCCAGGCACTAAATCATGACTAATACAGCTTGGAAACAGCAAATTTGACTTTGGGTTTAGTGGACGTGCCTTTTGACGAGCCGGCATCTCATCGCTGGTTTTTATTGTCATGTCAAAAGCATCAATGGGACTTTTATAAAGCTCTCTCACTTCATATTAAAATACTTTGGGCATAAGAGTAACAGGATCTAGCGAGGTGATGGTGAAGGTAGTAGAAAATGCAATGGAATTTTAACAATAGTGTAGTTCAGATAAGATAAAACAGAACCGTACTCTACATACACCGATTTTAAAAAGTAATGCTGAATGTTAGATGAAGTGGATTAAAGAAAAAACAAAACTCGAGAAACTAAAGAATAAATATATCAAGACAAAAAGTATCAACAAGAGTACAATGTCAAAGTAAAGTCTTCAAATTGTTGTTGCATGCTCCGGTCAAGCCAACAAAGACAAATAAAGTAACTAAGTATAATTAAAGATGAGTAAAAAAAAAATCCTGAGAAATTAAAACTCGGCATGAATGTTTGGGATTATTTACTTAAAGATTTCTCACCTAGATTATGTAATAAAAAGATAGAACTACCTGAAGTCTTTGGGCTCATTAACTGTGGGGACGATGGTCCTGTGATGGTTAAGAAAGAAGTGTGATCCGTGTTCAGCCTGAAAAAATGTTTACTTAAATAGAAGCGGTGGTGCATAAAACACTGTGTTTTGCTACTGTATACAATGTTGTACTTATGGCAGATGATCCAAGTCAGTAAAGTACTGCAGATCATTTCCTGAATTTGTTCATCTAATGTGATCCTCATCTTTGTTCAAACACGAAACCCTTAAAGCTGAAAACCTTCCCATAAAATATCTGCATCTGTATGTCGCTTGTGGAAGATTTTCTGTTTATTTGAGTATTTCATTTGAGGATGAATGGTTACATTGTTGCTCCTTGTTTGGCCAAAGGGGATGAAACAAATCCCTGACTGCATGTCTAACCAGCCCCACTCGGTTTTAGCTGAAACCTTTTCTGTTTTCAATAACGGGACCAGAATGAAGCAAAACAGACTGCTTAGCAGAACGCTTCTGTGGGCTAGCAAGACAAAAATGACATGCTTGGTTTATCAAAAATGTTTTCAAACTGTGTAACGTCATCAGGGATGTGGTATAAGTGTTTAGGTTGGCAACAGTGTGTCTGAATAACTCGCCCATCTACAATAAATAGCAGCACATGGCCACTTTTAAAACTTTTATTGAAAGAATGTGGAACCGCTTGGAGTTGGTGTAGCTGAAGAGTCTCTGATGGGGTTAGATCTGCAAAAGCATTGAGCCAAGAATAAGAATGAAGTGTAAGAAATGGCAACTAATTGTTGGCAAACTGAGCCAGTATGGATCAAGACTGACTTTGTACAACTTTTGAGAAAAATACCCAAACATCTATAAGGTACGGAGCAAAACTTATACAGCAGCACTTCTCCAGACCTTCCGAAGGTCTTTCAAAGTTTCTCTTTTTCTTTGATCTACTTTTTTACTCCTTTTCTGTCCAGTCCTTGAACCTCCCCAAGGTCATGGTGAAGAGAGAGCTAAGTGTAAAAGCGAAGCTCTCAATTTACCGGTCGATCTACATCCCTACCCTCACCTATGGTAGTGACCGAAAGAACGAGATCGTGGATAAAAGCGGCAGAAATGAGCTTCCTCCGGGTGGCTGGCCTCTCCCTTAGAGATAGGGTGAGAAGTTCAGCCATCTGGGAGGGGCTCAGAGTAGAGCCGCTGCTCCTTCACATCAAAAGGAGCCAGCTGAGGTTGGAAAGGCTTTGGTGTTCCCCTGGAGAAGCTGGAGGAGGTGGCTGGGGAGAGGGAGGTCTGGGCTTCTCTGCTTAGGCTGCTGCCCCCACGACCCGGCCCCGGATAAACGGAAGAAGATGGATGGATGGATGTTTTTTATTTGTTTGTTGAGCCACTTAACACTGACCTGATGAATCATTTAAAGGGATGAACCAGTATTATGTATATACAACTTAGCAAAGAACCAATTTTTGGTATTTTTAGGCACTTTGTTACAGCAACCATGAAAACATATAATTCGTTTTCTTTATTTTTCAGCTAAATCTTTGAAAAATACCAAAAATAAGCCAGTTTGGAATAGATAAAATTGTATTTTTCACCAACAAGATGAATCCAGAAGAGCTGTTAGTCATTGGCTATATTAGGACACACTACACACCATGAGGAATACAGTCCTTGAATAAATGGTTCCCATTTTCCTAGAAAAAATTATATATATCTATATCTCTATATATGTATCTATCTACCTCTCTATCTCTCTATGTATATATATGTATATATAAAGCCTTTTGCATAGTATTGTATATTCTGCTTTGTTCTGCCTCTAGAATATCAGTTATAGTTGAAACTCAATCTTAGGTTCAGGTCAGTACGGAGAAGAGCATTAATGGGGGTGCATATAGATTTAACTACCTATTCTGCAGAAGCTCATGAGTCTGATATTAATACTGCTGTAGCTCTAATAATTTACGACGGCTTCCTCGTCCTCTGCTCTTTGTAAAGGTGATGGGAAAACTGCAGGTCTATAGCGTCACATAATTATTCAGTTTTAAGGGCAGTGCTGCAGTGGGGAATGAGTCGCAGGAGTGTGAAATAAACACCACCCCTAACAAAATAAAGCAGCAAACATGCTGCACTTGAGGTGGCAATATGTGACCAGAGGCTCGACTGCAGTGAAAGGAAACCTGGTGTAATATACTCAGACGCAGAGGACAAGCAATGTCACTTTCTACTCTGCGGTTGGAAAGCCTATTAAAATGCACCCTTGGGTGAGGCTTGCACAGACTGTCTTCTCTCTTTATGCCAGTGAAGCCCTGGCTTGAAATAATCTTGTTACTGTGAGAGTAGAGCGTACATTAATAGGCAGCGTTGCAGCAGGACTTATCCAGATTTATGCCACGGAGTAAAGGCCCAATCCATAAAAGCAGCCAGAGAGCGAGTGACGAGCGCGCGTTACAGGCATACGTAGCTCACATTTGATGCCTGGGTGGCATATCAATCGAGGCATTTATTCGATCAATTTGAAGCATCATTTCCTGAGCTTGCAGACAAGGCAGCGCAAGCCGCCAATTCGGTTTGCTCAAAGTGAAGAGAGGATATACATTTGCATAATTTCTTTTTATTATCCCTCAGTAAAAGTCAGGATGCAAGAAACAGAAGAAAGAAACAACGTTGTGCTCGCAACAAAAAGCTTCTTTTATTGAAACTGTGAAATCCTTGACGTCTTAACCGTATACTGAATGTTCCACAAAACTAAAATCCAATTTGTATTCATGGCTTTTTCATTTTATGAAACTGCTGGCAGCTGTTTTCTGTCAACTTACCTTTTAGTCAAATCACAAGTTTTTTTTCTTTACACTCAGTCTTTCCTTACTTAAAAAAATATTTCCATGTTTCACCAGGGACAGATTTGCATATTGTTTCCGTGACGAGAAACACGCACAAATGATTAGCCTCGTCATGCTATATTTTACTCGAGCAGAACGTCCTCTCTGTGGCTGACCGGCAGATGTTTGGCTCACCATAATCGCAGGCTGCATCTGAACCCACAACACCATATATAACTATATTAATGAGCAAACAGCTAGCTATGTAGTAATTTTGCTGTCATCGTTATGGTAGGCTGACTCAAAGTGCATCAGTCAGTAAGGCAAACAAACAGCCTATTATGAAAAATACACGGCAGGGAAAGTAAAATATTTCTTCCATGAAAAGAGGAAGAGTTCATCTCTCCAAGATGAAACTTTTATACTGCTGAGACAGCCAAGGAAATGGGGTATAACGAAAAATACGAATTACATTATTTTCCTTTGTTAGCATAGTCCCATTTCTGTTTTAATTCTGTTCCAGACTTTATTTTTTTTCACCAAACTTTAATTGCCCCATCTCATCCCTGACCCCTCAAAAAGTTACAAATGTTTAAACTTTAAAGTTGCACAAGGCAAAAATTAAGAAAAAAAGGCCCGACTTTGTAAACAGGGGACTCTCCTTCTGTAGTTTCTGTCTCTCTCTAAGACCCGCCCACTAGGAAGTGGCTAAGGTCAGCGTTACCACTGGTAGCACGAGGCAATACCTGGACCCTACATAGCTAGGCCAACTCCTCCAGGACTGCACATCAACATGTGTCATTGCCAAAAGGTTCTTTTGTATTTCCCAGTTCAGTCTGAGAAGCATGGAGACAAGCGGTTACTACAGGTCTGTATAGGCCAATTAGCGGGACTGTTATCTGCTTCATTGTGCAAGAAAGAACAGGATGAGCACTGCTAAAGCTATAGAATGACCTCCACCAGGCCACTGGTGTGATTGCCTTTGACCAAACAATGAGAAACAGAGGTGCACACAGACCTCTACACCCTAACTGCAATTAGATATCAGGATAAAATGCTTGAGCAACTCTGGGACATTATATATTTCAGTCCTTCCGATACTGCCAGGTTGCACCTCCGACTGTCCAGGAGATCAGTGATGCCCTGGTCCTATCTCGGAGGAGATCCTCTAGGACATCATCCATCATCTCATAGGAGAATGCATGTATACATACATACATAAATGGATGTAGACACATTAGAAGGAGTGTTGCTGGAAGTTTGAAGATTGGCAGGTACATTAATGCTACTTAACTCACTCTTACACCCCATCTTTATTCAGTTTGCTCTGCTGCTGAGGACAGACACTTCATTAGTGTGATGACTAATGACTAAAAGAAGCAGTTCACACGGCTGGTGATATAAATAGAGCCGCCTGTTGAGCCCCTTGTGAACTTCATGGGAGGGGGGGAGGCTTGCCATGTAAATACAATCCCCTCCCTTTCACTCTTATTATCATAAGCTTTTTTGTTGTTCAGTCACCCTTTAAAGATGCATAGTATACACTATATTTACACTGTGATGCTTGCAGAGAGTGTGAGCGTGTTTGTGTGTTTTTATTGCCCTGCCTGTGCAAATGTGTGTGCATGCTAGTATTTATGTAGCTGCAACATCCGGACTATAAAAGTGCTCTAATGTTGTAACTTATAGCACAAACCAATAATCTGTAAGTGCTTATGTCTTTGAACCCTCTAGGTCATACATGTACTTATCATCATTTATGTGTCATAGGAAGCTATAGCCACATAACACTTGAGGCATTTTGGTTTTATTTGCCTGTCTCTCTCCCTCACACACACAGAGACAGCCACCAACACACAAACACACACAGAGGGCCTCTGAACTCTCCACCCACTACGTCTGTGTCTCTAAGTGTAAATGAGTCCAGCACCTCATTTTAAAGCACAGAGCTGACCTTCTTTAAAAGGCCAAATTTTACATTTTCAACCCATATGTGAAAGAGGGTGCACATTTAAAAATAGTCCACATGCATTTATCATCTCCTGCCTCTCGGAGAGCCTCATAATCAATCCAACAGCCGGCTGGATGACTGGGGGACTGGGCAAATCCCATCATGATAGCAGTATCCAGTCTACAGCAGGCTTTAATGTACAATCAATAGTAAAGACTATTTATCTAATGATTGAGACAAAAACAGCATCAGTAAGTGTAACGTGTCCATCCAAGCATGTGATCAGTGAATGAGTAACATAACGAGGTTGTTTTTTTTTGTTAATGTGCAGCCACAATCATTCAATGTGTTTTAGTTTTTGTTCACAAATGAAGAACAATGAAACAAACAGCAAGGGATAAAAGTAGGTTTTTAAAATTACCATTAGAAAGAACTATATAGAAACAACAGGCACACATACTCATTATACACAAATTTCACCACATTCCCATAGGGTCTTAGCAGTGTTTTTTATTTTATAAAGACACCTCAAATGTGTTTGTATGTTTATATTTTTATAATTAAAAGTTAAAGTAGCAGAAACATGTCAGAGACAGGCATAAGCCACAGTTTGCTTTTCTTCTGTTTCTCTCTTCATGTTTCTTGTGTTTTGTTTTTCCCGTTGCTGATGTTGTTTACCCCTGCCCGAGTTTTTAATTGTTTCCTCTACGTGTTTCCTCTGCGTATGTATTCCAGTATTGTGCCATTTTTTTGGCAGTCATTTCCTGTTTTATTTGTGTAATCACTTTCCCTATGCGTATTAGGGTGTTTTATTCCTCTTTCTGGTGCTCTTGCGATTGCCTGCTCTTGTTCCTTATTACCCTGCTCTCTGGAGTGTGTAATTTTTTTCAGGGCTTCATAGTTGCTCTGGTTCAGTTATTGCTCCCATTAGATGGCTTTTCTCTTTGGATGTTTTGTTTGGTTGGGTTTTTTTTTTTTTCCTTTGCTTTCTTTCTTTCTTTCTTTCAGCTTCCTACCAAAATCTGTCTGCCATGTGTGTTTGAATGTGGATCCTCCTTGAAATGAACTTGAACAGCCTTTTATTTTGCATGAGCAATGATATGTAAATGTTTGAAAAAGGAGGTACTACAAATAAATAACTAAACACATTTATATTAGCATTTTTGTTGCAGATGGCATAAAAAGTTCCTGAAGTGCCACACATGCAGAAAAATGATCTGCTACACCTTCCTGCAGAGGAATGAATCTTGTCAAGCACAGCAGCAGCACCTTCTGTTTGAGTCATACCTGATAAAGTGAAATAAAGTTTAGAGTAAATAGACTAGAGGATGGAGGCCAAACCCACCAGAGTTTATATGGCAGAAAAGTCCAAATAGAAATTTTAATCCCTCAGAATCAGCCATGTGTACAGAAACTTGATGGGTAAGAAGAACTGCAAGCTGCCAAAGAGAGAATCTTCCCAGATGCTCAGAACCAACTACAACCTCCCTCTATAGATCAAACACCTCCTGTCTTTTTTACAAATACAGACACCACGATACAGCTGCACTAATTTGATGTCATTTCTGTCTATATGCAGATGCATTACCTTGATCAGAAGCCGGATGCTTCCCGAGGCCTTGTGGGAAATGTAGTACCAGAAAGAGAGCTTGCAGATGGCGCTAGACTCTTTCCACACAGAGCTTCTAATATGAGCTTTATCGCCTTTCAGTCCCACTGGTGTTGCTTCCAAATAGACAAAATGCCCTAAAGGGAGAGAAATGAGGGAAAGTGATGAAGGAGAAAGGCACTGAGCCAGCAAGTGAGCACAGAGGTTGAAAACTATCTCTGCACTGGTGGCTCTGACAAATCACATGAAGGTCACAAAACGTGTTGGGGGAAGGAGGGCCAAGAGTTACGGGGTAATCTCTGACACATCTTCTAATGTCTCACTGCCTTTGGCACAGGGGAGCACTCAAACTTTTTCAGCCAAGTAGAGAAAGGAGAAAGTAGGAAAATGAATGAATGAGAAATAAAGAAAGTGTATCTTCTTTGCACTCAGCATTAGCGACATTAATAATAATAATCTTACATCGGGTTTTTTTGTAGTACATGGCTTTTGTATCGCTGTTACTGAATATTTTAAACACACTTAAAGTTTAGATATAATTCTTCTGATTTTCATGGAATCAAACTCAATTTTTTATGGTCTACATTTTTCAGCAGAATATTAAGATTCAGTCGACCACCAGTCGGTTTTAAGTTGGCTTTTCAAGAAATGATGCAGCATGTAATCTGGTGTTCCCACAGCTAGATCAGAACTGTATTAAGACTTTCACTGTGAAGCACTTAGTGGGAATGTAATATATTTCTCACCACAGTTTGCAATAAACATGAATGCCTCTGCAAGACATCCTCATTTTTGGTGTTTTTGCAGATAACAAAGTAATGGGAGAAGAAGCCACAGCAGGGTATTCTTCTTCTCCTCCTCCTCCTCCTCCTCCTCCTCGTCCTCTGTAACAAACTCCCTTTTCTCTGCTCTGTTGTTGTCTGGTTACGGCTGTTATTGCTGACTGACTTCTTTATTAGAACATTATTTGTCTGGCTGCACAGTAAACTGACTCAGAAAAAGCTTTTTGTTTTGTTTCTTCACAGAAAAGCTGTTTAGCAAGTGTTTCTTGTAGTATTTACCCATACTTGCTGTGACTGTTATTCTGTTTGGCAAGGTTTGAAATGATTTATTAAAGCAACAGATATGTCTCTGAGCTCATCACTCCCTGCACATATCTTACACATAGAAATTGGAGAGTGATGGGAAAAGTTGCCCCCAGAGCTTGCAGGAGGATGCTGGTGATGCAGGACAGGAGCGCTGACATGCCAAAGAGAGGGAGATGGGAAATCGGCAGATGTTAAATCCTAATTTGAGGGTGCGTTTGGTAAATGACATGAGGAAAGTGCGGCATGTTACGTGTGCATGACACAGCACGCACGGGGGTCAGCCAGCAAGCTAGCAGACTTAGCTTCAACAGCAGCTCGTGTCACATTTGAAATCTTTTGCACATCCTTAAGAGCAACTGGGTGTGGACATGAGACCTCTGACGGGAGTGTCCTGCAGTCACTGTAATGTTTGCAGCACATCTTTTGGGTTAAGTTTGTTTGGGGATGTGACCTCCATGGATCAGTCAGGGCACACAAACGCTCGATAAGATCAGGGTCTGGAAAGTTTGCAGGCCGGGTCAAGGTATCTGCCTTTTTGTTGCATTCCTTGAGCTGTTTTACTTTTTGTGGAGGCTGGAAAGGCTGCAGCCATCCTGGGAATCCCTTCCCTGCACACAATCTGACTTTTAAAAATAGTTTCTAAATGCCAGTTCACATCCAGCAGGCGTCTTGGACTTCTTAGTAAAGGAAGGTTTGTGTGCAAGATTTGCTATGCATTATCCTTTTAATAAAAAAAGATGCTGTCAGAAGCTCTGCATTTATTATTTTTTTATTTAGCAGTGTTTCACCAGATGCTCTTCATGAAGTAACCCCAAGGGGATTTGGACCTCTGGATTCAAAAAAGGAATCTTTTGCTTCCCAAGCGAGTGTGCTAACTAATGATTAGAACAAAATAAAAAGATCTCCTGCTTTGCTGTCCATTTCTTATCTGATCAGTTAGCTTCACCTCAGGGTTATAATGGGAACATTGGGAAGCACGGAGGTGATGGCTATGCAACAAATGACAGCTAATTTAAACTCAAATGGCATAATTGCATTGCTAATTGCTAAACAAATTAGATAACAATGAAATGGCATATTAAAAAACAAAATCATGTGCATTTGTTTCTTATTGCAATCATCTGAGGCTCTAAGTGGACCAGTATGGTATGTGGAAAAACATCAGCATCTGTCCAGTTTTGACTGGGGAATAATATTAGCCATGTTTGCTGGGTTGCCACGAGGTGCTGGTTTGGATCAGTATCAAAGTAGGAGATACATGCAGGAGGCTGCATAATAAAAATTAGCTTAAGTGATAAGTAATTTATGTGTATTGCTTTTTTGGCATGCACAGAGTAAAGTGGAATTTTAGCCTTGAATAAATCACCTGGTGCGCTTTCACATGCTGAGAAGAAACTCATTGATTTTGTCTGTAAAGTTACAAAAGCGTGAATTAAACATGGTGGAGAGCCATTTGGCCCAAGCAGGTAAAATTTGAAAAATCATTCATTCTGATTATACAAAGCCACTCACAGCACAGATGCACCTGCTAAATTATGCAACGGTAATTAAAGAATTGTTCTTTTTAATGAGAAACGGTGGTAAAAAGAAAAATCCTACAACTTTAAATGTGTACAGAGTTCATAGTGTACCAGAAAATGCAAACTCATACCATACTCATTCATCAGCGTGTGATCATACGGAGGCCGTATGCTTTGGACAGACCCAGTGCCCAGCACCCAGTGAAAATTATCAGCAAGGGAGCTCTTCCACCCACAGCGTCCGTTCTCAAAGGTGCACGAAGTCCCACAATGCTTCTCATCAGTTCCATCGCCACAGTCATCCGTGAAGTCACAGCTTTGCCATGGAGCGAAACACCTGCCATTTTCACAAGGCAGGAAGCCCGAAGGACAGGACCCTGACAATAAAACAACAAAAAAAAAAAGAAATACACCTCAGACGCGAATGTAGCGAAGTAGCATATTTTTTCTAAAATATATGACAGGTCGCCAGTCGTCCTGGATCTTTGGAACTCACTACCACTTCACCTCCATCAGCCAGACCATATTACACATTTTCAATCACATGTTAAAGCCAAACTGTTCAGCATATAAACTATAACTTATATTTTTTATATGTATTATTCTGGGATTTTAAATATTTCTTGCTATTGTGTTTTTTGTGGATCTTGTTAATTTTGTGGAGTCAGGCCAGCTTGAGTGTTTTGAAAAGAGCCAACAAATAAAATTTATTGTCATTATTATTATTATTGAGCGTCCCATAAAATAACACCACCTCTGGATCGACGCACTGTAAAGGTCAGTGTCGAGCTTCATCTCCATATTCTTCTTATATTTGTCTGTACTGCTATCACATATATACTGTATATATGAACTGTATATGATTTTTGTTTTATCCATACAAAACAGGTATAAGAACCAGACTGCAGGAAGTCATTGCTTCTCACCAAGAAATAATATCGTTTGCAAAACTGAAAACTGTTTTCCAGACACTGTATGTTAATTATGTATGTTCATTTAGAAGTTTACATGTGCAAAGCTAGCAGGCTGCTGCTGCAGGTTAATATTTAAAGTAAAGCAATTTGTGCATTTCCTAAAACATCCAGCTTTTCTGTTATGAATTACAAAGTGCAATAAAAATGTTGTGCCTAAAGGAGTTTCAGCAAAATAACTACTGTGTGCTTCACCAGATTAGACAGCACCGCATGAGTTGAGCATTAACTTTGGAGCGTAAGCAGTCAACTCAAGAGAGGGGGACCGTCTGCATGTGGCATCGGGGGCTCTTTAAGAGGCTTAGGAAGACAAAAGGGCATGGGGCTATAAGAATGAAACACTGTATGATCTGGTGGCTGGAGAAGGCTGGAATCTGCTTCTTTTGGAGCCAAACATTCCAGTGGGGTCAGTGCTTAGCTTAAGGGAGTGTTACAAAGAGAGATGAGGCGTGATGAAGAGGGGCGGTCCTTGTAATTAAAGGAGAGAAAGGGGTATAAGTCCTTCCTAATCCTTTGTTCCTCTTCAAATGCACAGGACCAGAAGCAATGTGCCCCACAAAGGCATATAGGAAGCCAGGAAGCCACAGCTCCCAGCTGCTCTGCTACGTACTGAGCCTGTACGTGGATTTATTTCAAAGATCAGCTAGCAGCATACTGCTAAACCCACAGGAGTGGCTACCGCTCTGCTCCTGTGAATGCACACTAATTCATTTGTCCTCATTAATTCCTGCTTATATCTTGTTACTTGGATAACTCAAAGAGCTCGAAGGCTGCTGGCAATGTGACCTTGTCACCAGGCTGCTCCTGTCCTTACTTACATACAGTATGTGGGCAGGCGCCTTGAGCGGCATGCTGCCCCCTTGTGCAGCAATGTCATTCAGGTTCAACATTAAAGTTTAAATCCCAGTGAATTATTTCAGGCTAGGAAGTTTATTGAAGGTTTATTGAATATAGAAGGACACCCAGGTTTCAGATAATTCACTGGAAAACTGTTCTGTTTTTATCTAAAATATTTATAACATTTATTGTTAATTAGAAACACTTTACTGTAAAATGTGGACCTTTATGAATGAATTTCCATAATACGAACATTGCACACAGCCACTTACTTGACTGCACGAGTATTAAAGAGTAGATGACCCTAAATGTTCCAGTTTGCAGCTTTTATCTTTTACAGAAAGAGCCACAAAAAAGATTAAAAAGTTTTGCTTTCACTGCTTTACTAAAGGATTTTAATGGAAAACTTATTTGACTTGTATTTTCCCAGTTCTATTGCAAGTCCAAAACAATAGTGACTTGAAGAAGAAGATCGGCTCAAATCTGATTTGCATTTTGTTCTGTCTCTCCTTTACACACGCTCACATTTACATGCAGTCTACAGATACAAACAAAGAACTCCACGTTAACATTATTCATGTGTGTTGTTCTACAGTTTTGGGTATTTTTTCCAGGCAGAGCTATAAAATAAGTGCAAGTGGAGAGTAAAAGCGGTCGGTCTTTCTGCTCCATCGTGTGATGGTTTTATATAGATTGAAGCTGTGGAAGAAAAAGCTCCCGAGGGAACAGCAGTATATAATTACAGTTCCTGCTGTCTCTGCTCTCATCAGTATTACTGTACGTCCTCTGCAGCCTGCAGCTGCTGAGACACAAAGAGAAAAGGTTTCTGTTTCAAGTCTTCTCCCTCTTGTCTCATTAATGGCCACTTGGACTCACCTCACTGTCAGGGCAGCGGTGATACTCCCTGACTTAACCTTCAAGAAACACTTCATATCACCGTGTTCTTTACAATGCCTTTCTTTCCTGTTTTCACACTACTTTATTTGCTTCTTCCTTCTTCTTTCAGAAAATTATCCTGTCATGTTTAAAGGGGGAAAAAAAGCATCTTCTGACCCTTTTAATTTTGCTATATGTCTCAAACTAATAGTCCTATGCACTGGATTTCAGCTCCTTATGGCCTATGTTTAAGCCCTTAACATATATTGCATAGTGTAAACTGTAAATCTTTCCATGCATTTTCTTCCACTTATATGACTCAGTGCTGCAAGAGGAACTGGAGCCTATACCAGCTGCCAGAGGGCGAATGGTAGCAACCAGAGTGTCAGACGACCACTTTTAAGTGTCTACCAGTGTAATTAATATCTATGAAAATAATTAAAAGCAGAATAGATTCCCATTCCAGCATACATAGACGTTCAGTCTGAAAGGATGAGTGACCTTCTCAAGTTTAAATGAAATAATTTTAGACATCCATCCATTCGCTTCCGCTTATCCTTTTCAGGGTCGCGGGGGGCGCTGGAGCCTATCCTAGCTGTCATAATTTTAGACAAGCTAAATAAATAAAGTAGCCACATATTTCACTTATCTTAACTGCACTACTGCATAATTCTGTATAAACAATCATTCTGTACAATACGATAATTATAATTCTACAACTGTTAACAACTGTTTATAACTTGCATATTTCTATAGCTTTATATTTATATCCTGTTCATAGCCTGTACATAGCTTGTATACCCACTACAGCCTGTACATACTTATAGTTATAGCATATTCATAACATACCTTCATACCGTGTACATTGTAACATACCCATAATAGACCCATTTTTGTACCCTCATACCTATAACAGACCCATTTCGGTAATATATCTATATTATTGCTAATATAAATTTTGTAATATATCTATATCATGGCTAAAGCACTTCTGGATGGATGCAAACTGCATTTCGTTGCCTTGTACTTGTGACATGTGCAATGACAATAAAGTTGAATTCTATTCTATTCTAAATAAAACCTAAAACGCATGCACTTTTTTTAAACCATCATAATGAGAAGAAACTATATAAAATGAGCTGCATGCTCAAGATGGATATATAAAAGTTTCCTCTAAGTCTCAACAGTATGAGAAAAATCAACAAGCTGAGCAGTGGAGTAAGCTGAAGGTAAGCATCATTAGCATGCAAACCTGCAGCGACTCTTATTGACACCACACTACTTCTCTAATAATGTCTGATTAATATTGGAGCACAGCTATTCACTGTAGGCACCGAAAGAGACGAATGCAAACAGACAGTGAAACGAAGAGAGAGGTAAGAGAAAGAGACAGCTGTAAGGACAATCCTGCACATCACCATGCAGCTGGATACAAACCCTCTACAGCTCAAAATGACAGGGAGCTTCACAGTTTTTATCCCTTTCTGCGCACAGGCAATCAGATTTTCTCTTCTCCCTCGACATCAGCTGCATCGGAAAGGCAGTACGTTTAATAGGCCAATTATAGCCACAGTGACAATGCCGATAAATCAGCTCTTGTTGTTTTCTCTTGCCTTTTAAAGGGTTCGCTCATAAAAAATGCAAGGGATGCAGAGGAACCTCTACATGCTGAACATCTCCCTAGTCTAAAATTCAAACTATGATGGGTTCGCTTTGGTCAGAGCTTCAGCCCCGAGGTGAGCAAACGTTTCAGAGCATTTCTCCTTAGATTGTTCGTTTTAGTTCAAAACATCTTATTTTTTTATATCAGCAAAACTCCAGCTTAAACTGGATGTTACTGTTGAATTGCTCAAAAAAACAAGAAAGGAATGTTTTATATAGGTAATTTAAATTAAGACGAGTGTCTAACGGAAAACCGAAGATACCGAAAAGGTTAAAAATGGAAATGTGCAACGTTTGACAATGTTAGTCCAAAGAAAACCAGCATGTTTGATAGGCCACCTCTATTTTCAAGAGCTCTAAATCTGGATTGGTTGAGCTTTTGAGCTCATTTTAATCCAGTCCTCATCAACTCCAGTTTTCACCTCCAAATGAAGGTGGTGTTATAATAACCCAGGAGCCATTATTAATTCTCCGATTGCCCATATGAGCAAACTATCAAGGTGAAAGTAATCAAAACTGTAGTTATCGACATCTTAGTGAAATCTTTTCTGAAAATTCACCAAATAGTTTAATTGGGAACTCGGGGCTGTGCTGTTCCGTTCTGCCTCAATGACAGTGATCTTTAAGCTTTTGTGATAAAATCCTCATATAAAGCAGCCCTAGAGGGAAACAGTTAAACAGCTTTTCACAGAAAATGACTACAGTCCCAGAATTCGCCCTGCCACAGCGGAATTAAAAAGTCATTATTAGAATAGCCGGGTCTTTTAGAAGCAATAATATAAAAACAGCTTTTTCCTGCTACACTCTGGCCTTCATCTGGTCATTCAGTCTTTTGCAGAAACACGCAGTCCTTTAATTTTGACTGCAGAGCAAACATGCCAGGCATTTATTGCAATACCTCTTGTTTGGCAAGGTGAGCGCCTTGTTGAATTTAAGTGCTTGCAACTGTGAGATCTGGCCCCTGAGTTAATATTGCACTGAAGCTCTCAGAGTTCACCACTTTCATCTAGTAAGAGTACATATATTTAATGTCTCACTGGAATTTGAAGGCCCATATTAATGCATTCTTCACAGGAGGCATTTGACATGATGGAAAAGATGGTGGATGTCAAACCTCTGTGCCCAAAGAGCCAATAGAGACCAAAAACTGAGCCTGTTGTGTTGTTGCACTGGCACATTTTTACCAGAGCCGTTTTCACTGTTTTGGCAGAAATACCAACTTGTTGTTATAGTAAAGATGGAGATAAGCTTATAAAATGGTTTTCTGGGCTTTCTCTGTACATAACTTATATGACGTTTGCTCGGTAGTCAGCTTCTGCCTGAAGCTGTTACCAAGATGGCTGGAGAGTACTGACACTTGTTTTCTAGAAGAACTTTGGTGTAAATCGTGAGAGTAAACCAACTGGGATCAAATTTGAAAAGTGGAATCAGCTGCTATGGCATGCAATAAGATGTGCTTTGAAAGAGATTTATGCTTTATGCTATGCTTTCCTTCACTCATGAAATAGTCTAAACTACAGTATTCATGAATACATGCACAGTAGTTCTTGTCATAAGCATATTATGTTAGCCATATTTGCAGTATAGCTTGTTGCCTTAATATTTGCTAATGAGTACTAAGAACCACGAGCAGATGAGGTTCTTGTCAGCAGTATTTGTAGCTGTTCCACATTTTTACCCCAGTGTTGGTGAGTTATAAAAAGAGAGGATTGCCAAAGTTATTGCAACTGCAGATTTTGAGACTTTTCGCCTGATAGGTGAAACAGGGAAACAGCAAAGTTACAAGGATTCAGTAAAAGTCATGCCTCAGTGCTGCAGTCAACAAGCATCAAAAGTAACCTTTACTTTAAAGGCAAACAATCTCTGTATCTCGATTGTGTCACACCTTTCACCGTTGCTCTACCGCTTGAAGAGTAGCTGCAGGCAAATCCACGTGATTCAAACTTTGAGGAAAAGCAGCAATCTGCTGGTGACCAAAGGAAATGCTTTGAACATTCTGCATTTACTGTTTGCTTTTCTTATTAGAAAACCACTCACAAACCAGTCAGGGAATACATGTTTTTCCACTTACGTCTGGTGGTTGTGTCAGGTACAATATGGCAGACAACTCTCGAGCAATATGTGACGTCACATGAGAAGACCATGATGTAAAACGTTTGTGATTTATAGAAAGCTCTAGTTTATTTACTATAAGCAATATATGCACTATGTAGTTTTTGGTGGCTTACAGTTTTTCATATTTTTGTGAATGATAGGAGGGTGTACAATAACACGGAAAGAAACAGCCAAGGTCGAAATGAAACATATATCCAATAAAGTGAACTGCGTACCTGGAGGAGGTGAAGGAGTGTTATCGGGCGATGTAGCTGAGGAAGCGAGAAGGCATCCTGGAGAGAAGGTAATGTCATCCAGGCAGATGTCAACCTTTGGATTTCGGCCTACCTTGCCCTCGAACATGACCTGGAAGTCCCTGGAGCTGCTCAGCGGGATCTCCTTCATCTGCCAGTAGTTGCCCTGATCTCCCGTCAGGGTCAGGAGGAGATGGAGATGGCCTTCACTTTTGCTGAACACACTGAGAGTCCCAATGCCATCTCCAGACATGTGGAAGTAGAAACGCATCTGAGAAAAGGAGGAAAATGAAAAAGGTGTTAATTTAAATAGCACAAAAAATATCAATAGTTTAGTAACAGTAATGTCTAACCCTGAAGACTTTAAATTTTTTGTTGGGAAATGGGGAAAAATGTTGGTACGGACTAATATCCGTACTGTAATAAAGATGTCAAATAATTCAATCGCTACTATATCTACACTGGTACTCTTTCTAAATAATAGGCTTGGATCTTTCAAAGGTCGCTTGCTTGACACACTGATACCACTTTGTTCTCTTCTTTTTTTTTCTTATATTGGTCTACTGTGGAAAGAAACAAAAAGTAGAGGCATGCTAAGGTGATTAAGTTTTAATCCACTCGGTCTGTCACTGGATCGATGTGCTTTTCCCTTCAGTTGTAGCCTTTATTAAGGCACAGAGATAAATTGTGTTTTTCCATCACACATCAGTGAGTTAGCAGTATATTTTATGGGCTTTCTCTCCAAATGGAGGCTTGTTCAGGAGCTGTGGCAGCACACCTCCCTCTCTCGTTCGCCAGAGAGAGCATTTCCCCCATAGCACAGCCCTCCCTTCAGTTTAATTGGAGCCTTTTTGCTAACCGTGTGATTGATTGACAGGTCAGGAGCAGGATAAGACAGACACGACACACAGAGCAAACCAGGCAGTCAATCAAGAAATCATTTCCCAGTAGAGCATGGGGCTGACAGCTGGGAGGACACACACATACTACCAACCAAGCATACACACTCAGTTGCTAATTGCCTGTTTAGTTGCATCATGTTTTCAGTTCTAATTGTAAGAACAAGAAGGTCAATATTTAAAAGTCATTTCTTAAGACTAAAACTTGCAAGCTGACAGGAATTTCTTAATTTTAAGAAATACGTTCATGTCCTTCCTAATAAACGTTTTCCACTCATCTCTGAAATACATAAGAAACTAAAGTCAGCAGCTGGTTGGGTTTACATGAAAAGTACATCTCATCTTTACACTTGTTTGAGGACTAAATGACAAGAAAGACTATTTTCATCTCCATCGCCTCTTTATGCTAAGCTAAGTTAAGTTAGCTTAGCTACAGCTAGCTCTTAGCAGCAACTGAGCGTATTTTCCAAAAAGTTGAACTTGAATCTTGATAGTGTGAATATACCAAAACCACTGAATTTAGCTCTTCTTATATATATTAAATATATATATTTTACATTAGTTACTACTGAAAGTCAAACATACATATATTATATTATACACTGCTGTGCAAAAGTTCTCAAGACACCCTTTATTTCTTTATATTTTACTAAGAAAACTGAAGGTAGAAGTAGAGGTTTATTGAAATGTTCACTTCAACACTACAGCCACAAATCAAGATAAAGCCTCCACTGTGTTTTAGAAATCACTGTAAGCACTGTAAGCACATTGGTGGCAATTACAACTAGAAATTTCAAATCTGGATTCATAACTTCATAAGACCTGTTTTCACTGATTTTCAGTGCAGTTCTTGTGTAATCTGGCATACCTCAGCCTTTTCTTCCTGTTTCCCTTCCACTGACACCTACAAAAGCTTGGCACGGCTTGGGTCCTCTGTCAGATCTTTGTTGGATATTTTCCCCCTATTACTTAAAGATATTACTTAAAAATACTATTAATCTGCTGTAGATAGGTTTTCAGGCCAGTTAATTGTTCATTTGTCCTCTATCTGTCCAGTTTCCTCATACTGCATACCATGCAAAAAGATGGCACATTTTCAGTTATTATATCTTTGGGAATCATCTTGTTGGTGCAACTATACAATTTTATTAGTGTCAAACTGTGTTATCTTTGGCATTTTTCAAAGATTCAACAATAGAAATGGGAATAAATTATGCATTAGTGCATAAAGTTGAAAAACAGCCAATGTCCAAAGAACAACTTCCAAGGATCTTCAGGAAGTTTGGAAAATTATTGCTTGAAATCATTTAAAGTATAAGAAAGTTTTGCTGATTGGAAGCAAAATATGTAGAAATCAGTTGTAGTTCAAAGGTTTTGCACACACACAAGTCCCAGACAATTATCTGAATAACATCAATCATGTTGTTATAAAGCAATGTTTCTTAAGAGATCTAATTAGGAATCCACTGACTCACAAAACCCAAAGATGGGAGGATTCAACAGGGCATGATGATTATTAATATATTGTTAAATAATGTATATTTTACAATATTAATTAAAAATACAGTATTTTATTATATAGATCAAATAATCCATCCATCCATCCTAGGGTTAAATGGAATTTGTGTTAGTGGTCTTGGTACCAGGACACACCTGTCTACCAACCAGCCTACCAGCTCAAATCATGCCACATCAAAACCAATAGAAACGGCCAAATTTTGATGACCTCAGAATTTAAAAATTTAATCCGTGGTAAAGTTTTTTTTAGCGTCTTCATTTAGCTGTATTTTTAATAATTCTCGTACATTCTGTCCTTTGACCTTGACCTGACCTTGCACTGTGAGCTCCTGCGGCTCAGTAGGGGTCCTATTATACGAGCGGTGCTGCCATCTTCCTGAGGAAATGAACTTTCCAAGTAGAGGTAGTGTCCCGAGGAGTTTCCCAGGGTGTGGTCAGTTGATGGCCTAGTTCCAATGGTTGGACTGCTGCTGATCCTCCAATCAAAGTCATCCTCTTGGCACTGGCGCCAGGAACAGAGGTCAAACTCAAAACTGCAGCGTTCAATAAAACCCTCTGAAAGATGGCAATAAAAGAAGAACTCAATCACGGCTGTTCATTTATCAGAAAATTAATCTTCCACTTAAAGTCATCAGCCAAACATTAGAAGAGGCCTCACGGCAGATGTAGGGGTTCTCGTCTGAGCTGTCCCCGCAGTGGTTGATGAAGTCACACAGGTTGTCCTGAGGGATGCAGTGGCCATTTGCACAGGTGTACTGCTCAGGTGTGCAAGGCTGGTCTGAAGGAAGAGGAGGGGAGCAATCCACGAAGCCGACGTCATCTATTACCAAGTCACCCATGTAGCTGATCCCTCGTTTAGCAGAGAATACCACCTGAAAAAGAACAACAGACCCGGGATCAACTCTGAGTCCTCACTATTTTTGGAGAGGTCGATGCTTAATGTTATCAGGCAAGCCGCGGAAACAGAAGAGCCGATAGCCCCTGTCCTAATGAGTCTTGTTATTCCGCGTCTAGTGGCAGTCAGCTGATGAAGTGCTCGGAGGGGAAAGGAAAAGGGCACTTGTAGTCTCAAAAAGGGCTCTGAAGGTTTGGTGTGTAAAGCCTTTCAGCTGCTGATTGTACCATCAGCTCTGATCTGACTCTCTGTTCTGACAAAGGTTAATGTGCATCAGTGGGATGACTTCTCCGGTGCAATCAAGCCACCGGGGCAGGCACTGTACTTTTATCTGGGTGTGGCAGTTTTGCCCCTCAGATGAAGACATTGATTATCTCTTGTTTTGAAAGGACAGGTACTTCTCTAAAGATTGCCTTAGGTCAAGTGGCTGTGAAGAATTAAATGGAATTTAAATCATTGACATTTTTTAGTAAAACTCTGTTTTCACTTTGACATGATTTTGAATTAATTTTTATCAGAAAAAAAGCCAAATTATATTGTCCAGAATTTTACTTATTAAAAACAATAAAAGGGTGAAACCACAGCAAATCATCTGCCTTCATCTCACTCTAGCCTCCTCTTCTGTGGCACCAACTCTTTTCATATCCTTCCTTACTACATCCATGAATCTTTTCTGTGGTCTACCTCTTTCCTCCTGCTTGGCAGCTCCATCGTCTATATCCTTTGTCCAGTACATCCACTACTCTACTGCACATGTCCAAACATCTCTGCCCTGCCTCTCTAACTTTGTCTCCAAACCACTAAACCCGAGCTGCCCTTTTGATGCTGCTGATGAAAATCTGAGCATCTTCAACTCCACCTCCAGCTCAGATTCGTTGGTTTTGTCAGTATCACTCTCTCCAATCCACACATCATAGCAGGTGTAAATACTATCTTGTAAACCTTCCCTTTCACTTTTGCTGCTGTTGTTCTGTCATTTTATACTTTTACTGTACATCATTATAAAAATACCACTGTATGAAATGTCTAAATTGTTTAAAAATGACTATTTTATATTATTTTTATATAAAAGTTGATATGAACCATTTCATTGCATTAAACTGATTTAGATATCTCACTAGTTTTCTTAGAGAAAAATTATGTAACAGACCTGGACATTACTCAATAACCCCAAAAACACTTCTCCTCGTCTCCATTTGTTGCCTTGGTTACCAGTCTCAGTCCAAACCTCATGAGTGATGTTTGTTTGCTTCAGCAGCACCTGCAGACATCAAAAAAGCAACATATTTCCGTGACTCAATTCTGATGAGACCCCATACACAGAAATGATCTGTCTGCTCTCTTTACCTTCAGTGTTCCCACGGTGAAGCCCCTCATGTGGTACCAGAAGACCAGGGTGCACTGCGGTCCAGTGGAGGAGATGACAGGAGTCTGGAGGTCAGTGGTCTGACCGTATCCACCGTTTGAACTGTCTGCATACATATACCACCCCTTGGAGCTGTTGCTATCAGAGGAATATCAGGAATACAGAATAAGATCTCAAATTCAGCTGCGGATCTGAGACGGAAATGAGGATTTAAATCAGCTTTAGTAATGTCTTTAGCCTGAGTGCCTTGGATATACTGAGAAAGGGCTCTGCATTGGAACTGACAGCTGTATTTTTACTTAGTGTAGTATAGTGCAAAAATATACACTTTTTTTCAGTAAAATATTTGTCTTAAAGGAAACAACCCATTTGTGATTTCTTGGCATTTCTCTTGGGAAATATTCGTTTATGATTTTTACCCTTCAGGCCTAAACGGCTGATGGGATATTGTTATTGCCCTGCCAGGCAGGCGGGAAAGGTGAACACCCTTACAAATACGAATGCAAGAAAGAGGCGATGTAGGACTTTCAAATTGATACCGTTGGGGTTTCTACTAAAAATCTCAAGGACGGGAATCTGGTGAATGCGATAACTCGAGAAGGAAGTCATGTAGGATTTTTCAATTGATACCATAGCTGCATCTACCAGGAGGCTGAGGAGAACCACTGGCAGCTGTCTGTATATTTTGTAGATTGTTACATTTTCCCAGAGGGAATAAATTGCTGAAGAAGTAAGAAAGTTCAAAAACACTCAGCTGGGAGAAAATCTAGCAATTAATTAATTTAATTGGTAGAAGTAAAGATGGGCAGAGGCTCTCCAATCTGTGAAAGAGTGCGTAAGAAGATGACTTCAAAAACAATGTTCCAAAACGTCAAATTGCAGAGCCTTTGCAACTGTCATCGTCTACAGTGCATAATATCATCAAAAGATTCAGAGAAACTGGAAATGTCTCTGTGTGTAAGGACAAGGCTGAAGACCTTTATTGGATGGTGCTCCGTCCCTCAGACAAGACTGCAACACTCATCAGCATGATTGTGTCACTGACATTACTAAATGGGCCCAGAAACCACTGACAGTTAAGATGCGAACTAAAGCTGCAAAAAGAAAGCCATATTTGAACATGCTTCAGAAGCGCCGTCGTGTCCTGTGGGACAAGACTCATTTGAAATGGACTGTCTCACAGTGGGAAAGTATTCTATATCCAGATTAGACAATCTTGTTGGTAATCCCAGATGCTGCGGAGAAGGAAGCCCTTCCAACATGCTATCAGCGTTCAGTTCAAAAGCCAGCATCTCTGATGGTATGGAGGTGCCTAAGTGCACATGCACGTTTTGGAAGGAAGTATCAATGCTGAAAGGTATTATAAAGGTTTCAAAATGAACAATAATACTGAAAAAATTACAAAAACTCTTAGGTAGGTGCTTACAGGGTGTGGTCATTAGTAGGACGGTGGTACTCCTCTCCAAAATGATTGCTCTCCCCTTGGTCACATGACCAGCGAAATGAGTGATTTAGTATGAAAGAGGGTTTGACGATCTTCCACCCACAAGTGTCACCTCCTTCAAAATCACAGCTTTCCTTCACTGGAAAAGAGGGGACATAAAAATAAAAAATGTCTCAAAAACATTTAAGAAGACTGATAATGCAATAGTTAAAGCCTTTTAAATGTTTTACCACAACTTATTTCGTCTGATCCATCAGAGCAATCATATCTAAAGTCGCACACTTTACTGAAGGGAATGCACTCCCCATATGTCCCACAAGGAAACTCTCCATAATGGCACATATTGGGTTGAACTGTGGGGGCTGGAGTCGTCACTGCTGGAGTTGTATTATTCAGTGTGGGGAGCTCTCCTAGAGCAAGAGACAGTAGAAAATAACTAACACTGGAAACAGAATTTCACTGTACAGTTTTGTGTTGTAATCATTTACCTTCATAAGGCTCACAGTTGAGGAAGGAAAGGTCATCAATAGCAATGTCTCCAGTAAAATCATCTCCAACTGTACCTTGAATCAAAATCTGGGAAATAAACACACGGCATATTCAGTCGAGGAGTTAGCGTATAAAGTCCGTCCAAAACTTTTAACAGGAACAGCTGTAGCTGCTGGTGTATTAATTTAGGAACCAATTAAAAGTGAACTCAGGATTTTGGTATTAAGTACATCTGCTGGGACACTTTTGGTTATTTCAAAAATGTTCATATAACCTTTTGGTTCACTCACAACAGTCTCTGTTACCTTGCTAATATCTACTGAAGTAAGCCCAATTAGATAGCTATACGAAGGTCTAAGTAAAAATTCTCTGTTAGAGAGAAGTACGGTGGCCCTGAGAGGCCAAACGGACTGCAACTTAAGAACACCAGCAATAAGAAAAACGCTGCAAAAGCACACAGAACACAACGGAAATAGGAAAAATGACAACGGAAATAGGAAAAACAAAAACCGAAATAGGAAAAAAACACAAGGGAAGTGTCTCTGGCGAGACAATAACCCGACAACCAGTTGCAGGAACCAAAATATGCTAAGAATTGCGCTGGGAGACACTTAAAAGAAGGGTAGGATCTATCGGACCTGTGAGGAACGAAAAGATGAGAGGTAAGTGTGTTAGCCAGGGGCGTAATGTCCAGGGGGGTTATGACCCCCCCAATAATCAGACCAAACCAATATAACCCCCCCAATAAAATTATGAATTATCTTGCATAAATAGGCTGTTGATTTTCTTTACTAATTTCAGGTATTACCAACCAAATAGTTGCATGTTTAATCATCTGGGAATTTATCCAGATTTATTTATTTATTTAGAGATCTTGACCCCCCCAATGTTCAGCACAAAGTTACGCCGATGGTGTTAGCCTTACTATTAGCCTAAAAATTCATCATCAGTATTATATGAATCATGATAAAACACACCTACCATGTTTTGTGTTCCTGCAACTGGTCTGTCGGGTTATTGTCTCCCCAGAAACACTTCCCTTGTGTTTTTTCCTATTTCGGTTTTCGTTTTTCCTATTTCTGTTTTGAATTTTTCCTATTTCCGTTGTCGTTTTTCCTATTTCCATTGTGTTTTGTGTGCTTTTGCAGCATTTTTCTTATTGCTGGTGTTTTCTTAAGTTGCAGTTCGTTTGGCCTTTCAGGGCCACCGCAGAAAAGATTGCACACAGACAGATTACACACAAGTTTTACGGAGGAAACACTGAAAAAACCTTTTTTTTTTAATGTTTAATCATATCACCTTCAGTCTGAGCAACATGCTAAAATTTGCTAACATTAGCTTTGTGTGTTTGTTCTGTAAGGCCTCAGGCACAGAGGCCTAGGGACTAGTTGACAAGGTGAAACTGGTCACAAATAGGTACATGGTGGTGCACCAGAAACCACCTCGCGATTGATCCTCTGCCTAATCACACAAGCTTATCATGTGACTTAGGGTTAGTCACATGAGTGGGGCAAGGTCTCACAAGGGCTCACCTGAAACCTTGGCTGATCGTTACCCACAACTGTTCTCCCACCTTGACTCGTGTGATTAGGCAGAGGATCAATAGTTGGTCCACGACCCTGTTAGGGACACTCCCAATATGGCTTAAAAATCTGGGATTCTCTACCAATTGCTTTTAGAACTGAAGAAGCTTCTTGGATCACAGGTTGAAACGTCTTCAAGAAACTTAAAGAAGTCTGGAGGCTTTTCTTTCTAAGCTCTTGATTAGTGCCTTACTGTTGCTTAACAGTAAGGCACTAATTCTCAAGTTTTTGAGTGGCAGCAGCAATCTGCTAGCAACCAAAGCAAGTTTAGATGGAGGTTTTTGTTGCAATGCGTAGCACCTTGGTACCTACAACGGACAACTTGATTCGATATATTAGTGGCTCAATAATGCAAATTAACAATTATCAATACTTGGCAAAAGCCTCCTTTATCTAAAACTGCCGAAATGCCAATAAATTAGACGCATATTTCTTCATTTAATTATTGACTTGAATTTTTCTTATAGAAAGCATTCAGTTATCCAGGTTATATGTGTTTCCCCTTTTTTAAACAATTTTCTCAGAGATGTTGTTTCAGCAGTCACTTGCATGCTTGTGACTGCAAAAAAAGGGAAGTATCATTTAGAAATACTCGAATACAAAGATTCTCATCAGGTTTTAAAAAGAAAACAGCTTGAACGTGAAAAGTACAGAAATGTTTTTACAGATAATTTTGCCTCTATAAGATCCTACATACGTGCAGAATAAGGCACCTTAATAGTTTAAGTTTTCATATTATCACATTTGGATGATTTAAGCAGGAAATGCACTAATGTATGTCTTTTTGTTCTTACATTGACCACATTAAGTCTTAATGAAAATGTAAAAGGATGAATTTGACACAACTGACTATTCAGATGCCCGGTTTTTAGAGTTTGTCATTTCATGGCACTTTGCCTGCACTGGGAGCAAATGGATCACTCTGAATTTGAATTTAATTCATCAGTGTCTGTTTTTCTCCCACTTTTACCCTTTCTGCAGTCAATTGACTTGACACACAGAGTTGCTGTTTTCATTGCCATAGCAGAGCAAAAGTCTTTAACTGCCTGTCAAGTTATACTCACTCATGAGTAATGACAACAGAACATCCATCTTGAGGGATCGATGTTAAGCAGTGAAGCTTTTAAATGGATCTTCATCACGCAATGGTGGAGTGCACTCCATGCAGACGCTTTGCTTCACTAATGTCTCGGCGTTGTCTGCAAAGGGAACTGTTTTTACCTAGAGCTTATGTGTGCATATCTACTTTGATTACACAAGGGAGCCAAAAGCAAATGACTCACAGTGGGATGCCAAGACTGTAACATCACAGGGTTTACCTAAGAGTTATATCTTAACCACTGTGTAAGCAGAACTTTGAGATATTTTCTTCTTATTTCCGTATTTTCATTTTGCCATGTATTGAGTGTACTGTCTGAAAGTCGGTTTTTTAAAACGACAGTCACAGATTAAATTGAACACATCACATGTTTTACCAATTACACTCTTAAAATGATGCTTAAAGGTTAAAACATCCAAGAAAAATCCCACAAACGTGAAATAAACGTGTAAATACCTCACTGAAAATGCCACACTGCTTTATAATAATGTCTATGTGAATGCTACCATTAGCTAACCTGGAAAGGCTGAGCACTGCTGAGGTAAAGAGTCTCCCTGTGCCAGAAGTCTCCTTGATTTCCATATTTCACCCACAGCATCTGGCCACGGCCTGTAGCAGTGGTCCTCAAGTACACCGCCAGGTAGAACACATATTTTCCAAACATGTGGTAATAGAAGCGGAAAGCACAGTGGTTGTACGACTTGCCATCGTGGTGGGTGGGTTTGAAGACTGGACCGAGCAACACCGCCGTGTCTTTGAACTCCTGAGGGGCAGACGCCTCAATGTAGAGGTAGTGGCCATAGACGGTGCCCAATGTGTGGTCCTTCAAAGGGCCTGTGTTAAAGGATGGAGTCGGGCCTTGGTAGATGGTCCAGTCAAAAACATCTTCTCCAGTCTGTTCCTGTTTCCAGTTACACAGCCCATGTTCAAAGTCACACTGCAGCTCTGGAGCTGTGACACATGACAGAGAGAAATTCACTACAGACAAAACTACAACAATATAAAGCAATAAAAAGCAATCAACATCTTGTCTTTGTCCATTTAATTGTATTTATCTACCATTAAGAAAACTTGAATTTTCCAGACTGACATTGATAAACATTGATAAACACACAAAAAAGTGCCAAAATCAGTGCAGCAGAGTCTACTGGCCACACATGAAAATAATAAATATTTTCATATACAGTCTACAAGCAGAACTTGAGAATGCATGACTACGTTTTACCCATAATTTAACTTCGCCACAGATAGTGCCATTTCAGATCTACTGCTTTAACACAGCAGCAGCAGCTAATGTAGCGTTAAGCAGAAGTAAGGAGCTTCAAAATGCTTTATGCAACTTTTAAAAACTTTTTTCATATCTGCAGTAACGCTACCCAGGACCTGCAAACAGATTTTAATGTGTGAAATTAGAGATGAGCAGCTTTATGTAAAATATCTGAACAATTCCTCCACCAAAGAATATAGTCCTCTTGGGAGGAGAAACAGATATTTTTATGAGCTGAATGCCTCAGATTAAACTTGTTTATTATTTCTGCATTTATAAACCAAGACTGTTGCAAGTCTGTTGCAAGTGAAATTAAATGAAGTAGCTTCATCTCAACAAGCTAAGACAGGGGAATGCCCTGTAGACACTGATGCAACACTATGACGAGTACTTTTACTTTTGATCCAGAACAAACATCAAAGACACTCACAACATCCTGCCTCATCTGATCCATCCCCACAGTCGTCCACAAGGTCACAGAGCTGCAGATGCTCCACACATGCCTTGGTGTGCACGCAGTGGAAATGTGTGTGGGGTGGGCACTCATCCACCGCCGGAGGCAGAGAGCAGTTCTTGAAAGCGATATCGTCTAGAGCGGCGACTCCATCGAACACGCCGAGGCTGATTTTAGCCAGGGAGATCTGGAAAGGCTGGGTGATGCGTCCCAGCTGTACGGTGACCTGGTTCCAGTGGGGTCCTTGGTCGTACAATGTTCTCCATATGACAGTGTGGTTTTCAACTCCTTCGATTCGAAGTGACATGTCAGCAGCTCCCACAGATATGCCTGAATTATAATGCCTGAGGGGAATAAGACAGTGATGGAAGACAAAATGTTAATTTTGAATGGATGCATTCCCCCGTGCTATACCTGAAACCTTTGCCTTCATCCACATACTGTAGTGAAAATACTCAATGGACATAATACCTGAGGACACTGAAGGAAAAAAATGACCATTTATAAAGCTCCTGCTTTCTGCCTGGAGAACTTCTCCAATCACCCAGGGGAAAACTATAATCTGTTATTAGACATAAACCTTCAGGGGCCATAAAACTGTCAGAACAGGACAGATTCAGATACTTCTTATTGTGTGTGATTGTGAAAGATGAGATATGCTTAGAGTGCAAAACTGAGACAGGTAAAATGATGAGTGGAGGTAAGAACGAGATCAAACAAGTAGTAGAAAGCAGAGAGACAGCAAGTGGAAAAGCGTGTTTTCATAGCAATGAATCTTGTCAAACTACTTTGTGGGCTTGACAAAGAAATGAAGACTGGTTGTGATGTGCTGGCTTTAAAGTAGTGTGACTCTAACCAGAAGGTCATGGTGCAGGCAGCAGCCGATTGCTGGAACCGCGGTCCTCGGAGAGCAGCGTTTGGAAACAGACTGCTGCTGTTCTTGAATATAAACATGAAGTGACCTGCAATGAGAAATGACAATTACTATTCAGCATCTACTTTTTTTAAAGTTCTGTAAACAACTTGCTTCACCAGACAGTCAGTGAGTCACTGACCAGAAACTCTTATGGAAGTTCTTTTAGTTAAACATCTTCCCACGTTGTTGTTGTTGTTGTTTTTGCTCCCTTACGGGTCTATTTTATCTGTGTTTCCTTTGGGATGTCTGTGAAATACAATGTCTAGTGTAAAAGAGATTATATATCTTCTTCTTTTAAATTTCAGCACAGAGCAAGATGTTGTGGATCACACAGGTTGGCTTGCTGGCCAACAGCCAGGAGCCAAATATAGAAACGGTCAGTGCAGCAGCGTTCACACAAATCATAAAATCATGCCGTTCTGCAAACA